ATTAATAAGTTTATTATTATAATTAATTTTTTATTAAGTTTATTACAAAAAAGAATATATATATAGCTTTAATCCAGAAAGCTATTCGCAATTCAAATTATAAGAAATCTATTCATGTGTAGTTATTATGTGGAAGATAGTGTTGTGCTTTATGCTCATGGGTCTAGCTACCAATTATGGAATGGTTAGCTACGAGGGTTACAAAGTCTTCAAAGTTTCCCCGGTAACAGAAAAAGAATTCATCACTTTAGAATTACTTCAAACGTTCAGAAGCAAAGTAAATATACCATTTAGATAAAAATAAACATAAAATAATAAATATATAGATTTTTCTATTAATAGGAAATTAATTTTGCACACTTATCAGTTAATATTTAAAATAGCAATTACTATTATCTATTTAAAAAAAATATATATACATATATAATTGTAGATTCTGAATTTTATAGATATTTAAAATAACTTATAAATAAGAGATCATGAAATAGAAAAACCAAAAAAATATGTAGATATTATATTATCTCCTTGGATTTAAATTAAGTTTAAATTGCAGTTAAGCAACGTTATGAAATTTCTTTACAGTTCATCTACTGGAAAGAGCCGAGGTGGGTAAACAAGGAAGTATTTGTTATGGTATCTCGAGAAAAGCTTCAGGAATTCCATGACATTATGAGCAGTTATACCAATACGACCTATAAAATTAGATTTGACAATGTCCAAACACTAATCGACATGACAATGCCTCGAAGTAATTTTCAAGGCTATAATTTTAAAAGCTATCTTACTCTTGAACAAATTTACGCTTATATGGATGAGCTAGCCAGGCTAAATTTCAAATTAAAGGTAGTCGTGGGTGGTAGAACATACGAAAACCGTGAAATCAAAGGCATTAAGATAATTAATGACGCAAATAAACCTGGAATCTTTATCGGGGGTGGCATGTATGGATTAGAGTGGATTTCACCGGCAACTATTTTGTACATTTTGAATCAATTAATATATAGTAATAATTCGGATGTAAGATATATAGCTGACAATCATAATTGGTTTATTTTTCCAATATTCAATCCCGATGGATATGTGTTTACATTTAATATGACTCATGGCGTAAGATTTTTTTCGCATAACGTTATCTAATACTGTCATTTTAATTATAAAGAGCTTTATACACGAATGGGTTCTTTTTAATAATTTTTAGGATCGATTATGGAAGAAGACTCGCAAACCGTTTAATTCTAATTGCATTGGAGCGGATCCTAATAAGAACTGGAATTTTCAATGGAATAGTAAGTATTTAGGAAATAAAAGAGAGTATAATAAATAATAGAAAAGCGTTATTAAAAGTTCGAGTTATTTTGAAATTTTGGAGAACTTCTGACATTTAAAGCATACAAAAGAAAAACATAAAGTAATAACATATAAACGTAACAAATTCAAAATATTGATGTATGTGTTACTTACATCTTAGTGCTTTAATATGTCTTTGTGCCATAACTTTTTAAAATTTATTTCATGTAACTTGATATTGTAACTTGATATTCTCAGCTTCTGGTGTCGACAACGATCCTTGCAGTGAGCTTTATCCTGGAAATAAGTCATTCTCGGAAATAGAGATGAAAACCATATCCCAATATATGAGATTAAATTCTCGTAAGTTCGACAAGTATATCTCATTTTATGGCTATGGACAACAATTAAAGTTTCCTTATGCCTACACGAGCAAACATATCTCTAACTATGATGAATTGGTAAGAAACTCTTTTAATAAAAAAAAATATTATTAAATTATTAAATTATTATATTATTAGGTACTTTTATACTATTATATTATTATTTTTTGATTGAATATTATCTTTTGAAAATATTTGTAGAAAAACAAAATAATGTTTTAAAAGCGATACATTTTCATGGCTTTATAACTTTTTTAAGTATATTAAATGTGTTTTTAAATTATTCATTTTTTAATAATTTATTAAGCCGATTGTTCCACCTTTCGGTAAATTTCAAGCATCAGGTAAGTCTATAGCAATCCGCATATGTGATTGGGTAATCTTGCTACTTATTTAACGTATAAAATTTACCAAAAGGTTAAAACAAACACGGTATAATGTCTCGCGCCAAGTAAATGCGCAGCGCGAGACCAAACTGTCTTTTTACGTGAGTCTGCGAGTTGCGATTATTTATACATTTAATGCGATTGAATATTATAAAGGGACGAATATAATGTTTCAGAAACGGATTGGTCGAAAAGCACTTCAGAGTCTTAGAGAGAGGTACAATACTGTGTATTGGCTTGGAAGTATTGGCGACTATTATGGGAATAGTAAATATTTAATTATCTAAATTATTTATCGCATTAAAAATTTTTTTTGTTTTTTCTTAATAATATTATAACGAAAACAATTTCATAATAACGTTTTATTTTTTTATATCTATAAAAAATCTATATATATAAATAATATATTGCTATATATATATATATATATATATATATATATATATATATATATATATATATATATATATATATATATATATATATATATATATATATATATATATATATATATATATATATATATATATATATATATATATATATATATATATATATATATATATATATATATATATATATATATATATACAATAATTTAAATATGTATAACTTGTATATACCATAACTAAAATATCTTTTATCACATTTTATTAAATTAAGTTTATTGCAATTAAATTAAAGGTTATGTTACTTCTTATGACTAATGTCAAATCATTTCTAGGTATAGTTAGCGGTACTAGTGAAGATTACGTGACAGTTGTTATGGATAAATCTATCGTATATCAGTACGTATTGCGCGATGAAGGTGACTACGGCTATCTATTACCACCTGATCAAATCATTCCGACTGGAAAAGAGACTCTAGATTCTCTTATAACTTTATTAAATGAAACAATGATACATTAATACACTGCATATAATACTTCCTAATAATTTATTGTTGTGTATTATTTATATATTTTTATTTAACAAAATGATGAATATACATGTTTTACATGTCTTGTAAGCTATCGATTATAAATAATGACAAATAAATTTTTATGTTTTACAAGTAGAATATGAAATTTTGAGTTTTTTTCTGTGCTTTTGTATTGTTATTAGTATATGTATAGAAATTATTTGTACATATAGCTTTGAAAACAACTGATTTATATTTTAGAATATCAGTTTTGACGTTTTTTTTTATCAGAATTTATTATTAAACATCATAATTCTCTTAATTTATTTGTTTTAGTTTTTATATAATATAATAAATAGTACGATACTTAAAATAGTAATTTTTATTTAAATTAATTACTTTCAACGGTTTCTGGTTGCAATAAACTAAAATTGGCAATAATCCGCAAATTATAGATAAGTAACGATACGTAAACTTTAAAATTCACTGCTAATGTTGAAAATTTGTAGTAACATAAACTACAGATTTTTAGCATTAACAATAAATTTTGGAACACTGTCGTATATAATCATTATTTAAAAGAAGACATTAAAATATTTGTATAAAATATAATTTATCATACAAAGAAATATACGTTAATAACAAATAACTAAATAGATGAAGATCTGTTTATCAAATAATAATAAAAGATACATTATCTACATACATATAAAAAATTATATATGTAAAATACAGAAACAATTTTTACATAAAATATTTAGCATTATATGTGGCAGTAAATGTAAGAATAAATTATATTATTGATATTCTATCGTCTTTATTGCAGTTCTGTGTGTAAACATCCTTTTTTATAAGCATGCTTTATGGAGATTGTGATAAAATATTAATATCAAAATGAAAAGGAATTGAAAAAATGGTTTTTTTTTTAAGTAATGTATTGTACATTTTTCTATATTTAAGAAAGTAAAAAATTATGTTACTATTTTAATATAATAATTTTAATTTTTTTCCCTATTAATCATTGAGTAAATACATTTAAAGATTTCGCAAAGGCTATATTTTGAGTGCAAATGAATTGTCAATATAAATGTTGTTGTTTTGAATGTCTTATTTTAAATTATTCTCACTGTTACTGGTTTGAATCTAATTACTGGAAATTAATATTGAGTTTTTAGAAGACAATATCAGTATTCTTTTCATTGTATTTTATCTTTATTTTTGTATTACTGTTTGTTATCGAGCTGGCTCTTACTTTTCACCTACTAAACACTTCTAATATTATGCGAATATTTAAGTTAAGCAGGTTTGATTATAATAATTTTAGTATAATAAATATATAACTTGCATTTATTGAATAATTTGCTCGACGTAATTACTTTTTGTTTACAATTATATCATAATATTCAACCAATTATTTTTAAAGTAATGTTAGATATTTATATTATATTGTTAATAATCACATACACGTTTATAATGATTACAGTGAACAAAACTGCAGACACATATGTCAGTGTTTCTTAATCAACAAAAAAGTATTTGAAGATTTAAGAATTTATCTGACAACAGATTTCAACAATTAATTTTTTTTGTAAAAATGATACATTGTAATGACATGATAAACAAGTAGAATTACTGCAATTATTAAAAACCTTTTTGTTCAGAGACGTTATGTGGAAATTAACAGTGTTACCTACGATTGCGATCATAATTACTGCTCAGAAGGCAACATACGATAATTATAAAGTCTTTAGGATTACCCCAACCACGCAGAAACATATCACACTACTTCGTAAATTAACAACATTTTATAATAAAGTGAGTAGATTTTTAGATATAAACATTATAAATATAAGTATTAAAGAGTTATAGAGATATTTTTTCCTTCAGAAAAATTAGTATCGTATATAAATTTATTATTATAATTTCGAAAATTAAGTTTTGTAAACTTTAAATAACTTATTCAATATTTGCAAATTCTATTTTACATGTATATATACATAATAAATTATAAATTATTATATATAAGGTTATGTTCCTTTTTCGAATTTTTATTAAAATCATATTGAAATCAATTAATCAAATTACGCAATTAAATCTCATTTACAGTTTATATTTTGGGAAGCACCAGTCTTGGTAAATGTAACAATAAATCTTATGATAGTCCCAAACTATTTGCCACAATTTTACGAAGTGATAACTCAAATCGGTGTACCTTATTATAATAACATTGAGAATGTTCAAACGCTAATTGATCAAACAATGCCTCGCTATCAATCAACGTTTGATTTTAAAAGCTATCATAGTCTCGAAATAATCTACAATAATATGGATGACCTGGCCAAACAGTATCCTAACAAAGTGAAGATAATTGTGGGCGGCAGAACGTATGAGAAACGTCAGATCAAAGGCGTCCAAGTTTCTTTTAAGGCCAACAATCCTGGAATCTTCCTTGAGGGTGGCATTCACGCCAGGGAATGGATATCGCCGGCGACTGTTATGTACATTCTGCATCAGTTACTGACCAGCAATAATTCTGATATCAGAAATCTGGCTGATAACCATAATTGGTACATATTTCCTTTGTTCAATCCCGATGGATATGTATACACGCACAAGACGGTAAATCTTATTTTTTAGCATTACATATAGAGCCATGTACTACTTTATGTTAATTGAGTTAATTACTATATGTACATGAAATAAATGTTATTTATATACTTCCAGGATCGCTTATGGAGAAAGAATCGTAAACCGCAAAATTTGTTTTGCGTTGGTACAGATCTTAATAGGAATTGGGACTACAAATGGAATAGTAAGTGCTAATATCTTTTGTAAACACAGTTTCTTCGTAATCACTAACATTTTAAATTGATATTTTCAGCTGTCTATGTCAGCAAAAATCCGTGTTTCAGTTCTTATCCTGGAAGAAAACCTTTCTCTGAAATAGAAACAAGGAGCATGTCAAAGTATATTCAATCTATTTCTAATAAATTTTATGCGTACATCTCATTCCATAGTTTTAAGCAACTTTTAATGTTTCCTTATGGATACACAAAAGCCCACCTCAACAATTACGATGAATTGGTATATTTTATTATGAAGAATATTATAGCTGTTAGAAATATTCAGTATATATAAAAAGAAAATTATGTTTTATAACAAATTATCTAACTTTATCTCTACTTTACTACTACTACTATTATTATTATTAACATGTTTATGACATTTTAAAATTAGTTTAAAAGTTTTTTTGTTAATTAATCTAATTTTTATTGTATTAATTTTAATTGTGATATTGACAAATCCAAATTGAATTATTCTACATATATTCGTATTTTTAGTATGAAATTGGTTTAAAAGCAATTACAGCTGTTAAAAAGAGATACGGGACTGCGTATCGAATTGGAAATATTGCCGAGACAATTTGTAAGTAAAATAATTTATCTTATTTTATTTATAATATTATTATTCCTGCATACATGTGGTTGAGTATTGGATAATTATAATATACAAAGTATAACAGGCAGGTTTATAATAAAAGTTTCTTTATTATAATTGTAAATAAGAAATGTTAGCTAACTTCAAGTATTACATTTACAAATAAAAGTAATTGCAAAAAAATCAAAGTATTGCTTTTTTAAATTTATATGTTTCATTTTAGATTTAGCCTCCGGAACTACTACAGATTACATCAAAGGTACTTATAATAAACGTATCGTTTACGTGTACGAGTTGCGCGACCGCGGTCATTACGGTTTTTTGTTGCCTCCTGACCAAATTATTCCGACTGGAGAAGAAACTTTGGACTCCCTTGTAACCATATTTAAAGAGATGATAGTATATGGGAATATGTCAGAAATGATTTGTAAAATTTATAAATAATTTGATATTGCTAGCAACAAGTAATATTATATATCGATATAAATTTTATTTGTCTGACTGTTTATAACTATTGGTGTTTTTAATCCAGTTTTTTTTAATTGTTTTGATAAAATATTGTTAATATATATATAAATTTTAACTTAATCTGAATTATGTATCTCATGCTTTTTAAAGTTTCTGTGCTCACACAATATAAATGAGATTACACTTGCGTCATATCTATTTCAGACTTTTTTTAACTTCCCGAAACGTTACTTATTATTTATTGTGATTTCAATTATTTCAATTATTCGCTTTTATTTAGATTAACTTCTTTCGTACTTTAATACAACAAGAAATTGTTGATGCTTTTAGTTTCATAAACATATTTAATTCATTTAATGGTAAATCGATAAAACTGATAATACAAAATGTAAAAAGTAATTATATTTTTATTATGCATGTATTAGTAGCTGGATTTTAATAAAATAATGAGATATAGAGTCTATAAAATTAAACATATTCTAGTTTGTCTAGTTTATCTGGTGCCGAAAAAGGTCAGACAATGCCATAAAACACCGGAAGATTTTATCACATAAGAATAATGACATATTTAAATTGTAAAGAATGTATTGAAAAATTCATGATGATCTCAATCCAAGAATAATGTATCAACCAAGGTTTTCTGTTCATTTCAACTTTTAATTAATGGATTATCTAAGCGTTGATCTGTTAACTCTCAGGCTTTATAATTTGTAAAGTACTTTAAAAAAATAATAAAAATTAGTATATTAATGAAAAAATGCTTTATAGTATATACTATTATAATAGCGTTTTGAAAAAGTCTTAAAATATCTACATGAACATGAAATAAAGAATAATAGTTCTAATTGAAAAAATTCTAGGTAACATTCGCTTGACTTTAAGAACATCTTCTCAAGGTCAACTAATGTTACCGTCTTCTTTCTTCTGAGTAACTGAGCAACCTTTGTCTGAAACAAAGGTTTTTAATTTTTTATTGCTAATTTCTTCACTTCTAGATAAGTTACCGACAACTTTATTCATGAGATATCTTCCAGCAAATACAGAATATAACTACAATATTGCACCAATATTATAACTTTTCTGCTATATTGCAGAAATGTTACAATGTTGCTACAGTATTGTAATTATATTAATTACAATACTGCACCAATGTATATAATTATATTTGCTATAAACATAAAATTAAATATTTTTTTGTTCTCACACTGAAAAAAATGATACGTGAACAATATTAACTTAATTAACAATTTTATTAATTTAATAACACTTTTAAACAAATACTTATGCTTTTAATAAAATTTTATTTAAAATATAAAGAAAAACCAGTTTAAATCGAGCGGTAATAAGATCTTTTTAAATAGATTTCTATAGTTTACAATGTTAATACAACATAAACATATATAAGATATAAAATATATAAAAAAATATAAAATAATATTGAACGTTTCGGAATTCACAGGTCCTTTTTTAACGATTCTTCCAGAATTGTTACAATGTCATAAAGATGAAAGCATAATCTTACGGTTTAAGTGACATGGTGTGGTACAATTTGTTCAAAGAAATTGATTCTCCTGTTTTGTGTGAATGTGGAAATTGTATAATAAAATGTATGAAAACAGGAGCATCTTTATATTTTATATTCGTCTGATTCTGTTAAGCGTAAGTTAATGCTTTAGAAAAAGAAGGGCCCTTGAGTTTCGAAACGTTTGATATTATTTTCATATAATTTTATTTTTTTTTATACATTTTATATTTTTTTTTGTTTTATAAATATTATATAAAATTTTATTTATTTTATTAATATTATTATTAAATCAAAAAGATTATTTTCAATTAAAATATTGCTATTAAAAATAACATCATTTTAATTTTAGTGTAACAATATTTTTATTGCGCAAAGAAAATGGTCATCTTAAGATTAATAAGTGTGCTTGTAAATATGTACACAGATGGCAAATACAAGTGTGAAAATAAAAGACTTGTAAAAAATGCACATATACATATAAATGTATGTTTAATATATGGGATGAGGCAAAAGTACTGGAACTTTTTAGGAAATTTTTAACGTAAAAATAAAAAAAACTCAACTTCACAAAAGTCCATGATTTTGACAAATGTTATCAAAGTCATAACTCTGAACAACACTTAATAAGTTTTAACCATCAATTGGACACTGAGATAAAGATTGTTCGTACTAATAAAAAGAATGTTGTAACTTTCAAACCTTATAATTCAAAAAATAATATTAATAGAAGAATATTTTATATATTATAGTGTTTTAAAAAGATCTAAAAAAAAGCAATAAAATTATGCAATGAAAAATGCGGATTTCCGTTTTAAAAAATCAATTTGACCTTGATCTAACCTTGGCGACGCCACTAAAGTCAAACTGATAAAATCAGTAAAAAGATTTTCTTAAACTCTATAACTTTTGTATAAAATACTTTTCACTAAAACTTATATTTTCCGAGATATTTAGGGAGTCTGATATTTTTACCTCACCCTGTATAAAATTCTACGTCAAAACTTCAATAGTGTAAATTAGTGCGGTAATGGAACTTTGGTGCCGTGTGCAACTACGTATTTAAATTAATGAACATCATAATATCGGTAATGCTAGTGCTTCCATATGGAAGAGTAAGTGCTTTTCTTGAGAAAAAGGTTATTCATATATTACAAGAATTACATTTTGTTGCTTAAATTTCAATTGGTATTTACTTGTAAGTGAATTTAAGTTGTATTATGTTAGTATTATAATGAAATAATATATTTACAGTAATATATATATAGATATATATATATATATGTTAATTTAATATTAATTTGTAATTATATATGACATAATATATACAAAATAATTTCTTATTATAATTGTGGTCCTAAAATATTAATGATAATTGAAATTGATATTTATATATTAAAATTGAAAGGAACTGATTATCATGTGGAAGTTAATAATATTAATATTCTGCACGAGCGTGAGCCTTGTGGTTGCCGAGCAGGCTACTTTTAATAATTATAAGGTCTTTAAAATAAATGCGACTACACACATGCAAGCAAAGAAGCTTAACGAATTGGCAAATGTTCATGATGGAGTAAGTAAATTTTTCAAGCATAAAAACAAGCAAAAGTAATATATTTGTATAATGTCACTGAAAAAAATTTTAGTTAAAAATGGACGATCCAAAAGATTTTGCTTATATCACCATTTGAATTCTCAAAATCTGAAGAATTATAATAGATTTAACCGGGAAATTCTTATTTATTCATTTTCTATCAAAATTCCAATTAATATAATCAAACTCTTCTTTTAATAACAATTTCCGCAAACTTATTTTTTAAGAAATTTATAATACTTAATCATATTAGCTAAAATTTAAAAAATTAAAAATAGCATAATATACACAATTTTATAAAATTTTATCTCTATAAATTTATTAAATTATTTTTATTGCTATATGATATTTAAAAGATATAAAAATTGATAAATTTACTTTTAAGAGAAACTTTTTAAACTAAAATTATTATTGTTATTAAATAAACAGTATTAAACATTATTTACAGTTTTCCTTTTGGATTCCACCGTTTGTGAATAAACAAGCGGAACTTATGGTAGCCCCACACAAGTTATCTGAATTCTTTGAAATTATGGCGCAGATCAAAGCACCCTATAAGGTTTTTATTGAGAATGTTCAGGCATTAATTAATCGGGCAGTTCCCGCGAAAATGTCGACGACGTTTGATTTTAACAGCTATCATGTACTAGAAACAATTTACAAGAACCTAGATGACTTGGAAAAGCTTTATCCCAATCAAGTACAAACTATCGTGGGCGGTAAGACGCATGAGGGACGTCAAATCAAAGGCGTCAAGCTTTCCTTCAAACCCAACAATCCTGCAGTCTTTATTGAGGGTGGTATTCACGCCAGGGAATGGATCTCGACAGCAGTTGTCATGTACATCTTGCATCAATTGTTGAAAAGTAATAACCCGGAGATTAGAGCTCTGGCTGAGAGCAATGATTGGTATATCTTCCCATCGTTCAATCCCGACGGATACGTGTACACGCACACCAAAGTAAGTTACATTTTATAACATCACATAGAGCATTGTTTACTAATTTAAATTAATTATACAAAAATTTTTAATTTATTTAGAACCGATTATGGAGAAAAACACGTAAACCATATGGTTTGGGCTGTTTTGGTAGCGATCCCAATAGAAACTGGGGATACAAATGGAATGGTAAGAATTTGTATTATTATATGTCAGAAAACTATTCCGTGTAATAATAAAAAAATTAAATAATATCTAATATAAAAGATCGAAATTAATTTGTAGATTAGCTCAATGTTTTTTTTGTATTACTTATAAACATATATTTATATATGAATAATTTGATATTTTTAGAGGGAGGCTCTAGCAATTTTCCATGTTCCGAAACCTACGCTGGAAGCGCACCATTCTCCGAAATTGAGACACAGAGCATGTCCAAATATATCAGTACTATTTCCAACAAATTGTACGCATATATCGCGTTCCATAGTTACTCGCAACTATTGTTGTTCCCTTATGGTCACACAATAGCTCATCTTGATAACTATGACGATCTGGTAAATAATTTTAAAATTAAATTAATCAGTATTAGGACTCTTAATGTTAAACAACAATATAAATAATAGAAAGGACAGTTATAAAATTTGCAAGAGTCAGTTATTATTAAAATTTCAAACAAGAAATTCAGAACAATCTAAAAATAGTGTACATTTATAAACAATAATTGTAAGCGATAGTCATTACATGTTCGGCTTCTACATATGTATATAAAATCACTTTACAATTCATCGATGGCACTATGTCGTCAGATGAATTTCGACGTTAGTCCACCAAGGCATAATACATTTGCGTAAAAATATCTTATCGACATGTACATTATTTAATATTATTGCAAAAATTGTTATAGATAAAAACATAATTGTTTGTAAGAAATATTTAAAACATGCATTATTTCAACAAATTTCAATAATTATTTGTAGACGTAATAGAACATAAAGTTTATATAGTTTTTACCATTTTCACAGTATAATATTGGAAAGAAAGCAATTACAGCTCTTTCAAAAAGATATGGAACTACATATACAGTCGGAAATGTTGCAGAAACAATATGTATGTAAAAAAATTTTATTATTTTGTCTTCTCTCTCTCTCTCTCTCTCTCTCCTCTCTCACTATCTATCTATCTATCTATCTATTCATCTATATTTATCTACTTATTTATGAATTTGTATTGTCATACCTAAATATTCAGTTTTCTCAAATGGTTTATACATATATTGCGTTGACATATTTTTTCTTTTTATTACATTTAAAACATTGTAAAATTGATACAATTATTCCATTCCTAATACTGTAGATTAAGGTAATTCTATATAAAAATATGGTTCCATAGGCTTACTCTTTTTATTTCCAGATGTGGCATCTGGAGGTTCTATGGATTGGGTCAAAGGCAATTATGGTACACCTATCACCTACACTTATGAGTTACGTGATCAAGGTCGTTACGGATTTTTGTTGCCACCTAATCAAATTATTCCGACTGGAGAAGAGACCATGGATTCTCTTCTAGCCATGTTTAAAGAATCAAAAGCACGTGGATATCCCAAAAAAATTAGAAAACATTAAACCTAACTAAATTTCGTACATTATTATTGATTGCATATTTGTATATTTAACGATTTGCTAATTTTTTTCAATATCTGTAATCTGTAATACAATAATGTCTTGGTATTTTTTTTAATCATATATGATGTTTTAAATTAAAATTTATAATTTATAATCTAATCAGTTAAATTATTATTGAACTCTAAATAATATAATATTAGCTGTTAGCTATATTTTATCGATCTTCTTAGTATTATTAAGTAAAAAAAGTATATTATTGAGTAAAATTTATTCTTTAAATTTAATACATTGTTAATTTGTTATTTGATTTTACATCCAAAGAAGAATAATCTTATAAAATAATGGTATTGATTCTATAGTTTTCTGACGATTATTGCCAGATAATGAATATATTTTTTTGCAACAATTGCAAATTTATATCATGTATTATTAAATGAAAAATACTATACAATTCTACTTTTATGTAAAATAAATTATAACATATATGTATATTATAAATGAATATAAACAGATTATATTATTTATTATAAATTATGTGGTAAAAAATAATGAATAATAAAAACGCATATCTAAAGAAAAAAAACCACCGATTGAGGTCAGCAAAAATGATGAAGAGCCTTTATATATTATATGTATAAGGCTTTTGCAGCGTGGTTGATACAAATCATAAAGGAGTATCTTTTTTCATATCTATTGGTGAAAGGAGGGAAGTTAATCGTCCTTATACCAAGAATGTCTGTATAATATCAAGATATAGTATCAAGCTCACAGAATATTATTACACATAAGCTGTTTTTCTAACAAAGAAACATGTTCGAGTACATGAAATCTATTTCCAACAAATTCTATACATAAATTCGTTTCAAAGTTACTTTCGCAACTCTCTCTCTCTCTCTATATATATATACAATATATATATATACTTTTCATATTGCTTGCGTCTCGTAACTTATTAATTTTATAAATTTTACATTATACTGAAAAATTACTTTATAGTACAAAAATTATAAAGTTATTTTAATTATAATTTAATAAGTCATTTTACTGTATCAATTTCTTTGCCATTGCTTTCAAATCTTTTCTTGAAATTTTCCCTGAACCCGTATATGGAAGACTGTCCAAAAATATTACGCCTGCACGTAGTTTGCATCGATCCTCCAAGTTTATCGCTACGAAGTCTATTAATTCTTGTTCCGTTACCTGTGCAAAGAAAAGTAAATCAATGCAAGAAAAATCATTCTAATATACATAACAATTTTTTTTATTTTAAATTAAAAAATTTTGTATAAGCAGTAATGATATTTACTCAATATATACAATATTGTTTAATATAATTTACTATAAAATAAAAGAAGTACAATTTTATATTTTAATTAAATAATTAAAGTATTAAAATTTTTTTATAATAATGCGAAAAATTTTCAATTTTGCTTTATTTTGTCATATCTCTAAAACAAATATTTTTATTAAAATTTTATATCCTCTCTCTATTTTTTTAATTATTAAAGATATTCTGGAATATACAAAATCAGTTTGCAATTATTTGAACAGAAAGAAATTATTTTGTGAATTTGTGTGTGTGTGTGTGTATGATTTACGATTTTCCATTATATTTCTTATTATAAAAAAATTGAACCTTAACGCCAGGCTTTTTGGTAACATAAGCAAGAGGGTGTTCATCGTCTAATGTATGAGGTACTCCTACTATTGCAGCTTCTAGCACTGCTGGATGTGACATTAACATATTTTCGATTTCTCCGGGAGAGATGTGATATCCTCTATATTTTATAAGTTCCTTTATTCTATCAATAATAAACAATTCTCCGTCTTCGTCTATATAACCGACATCACCCGAATGCAGCCATCCTATAAATATTACTTTTACGTTATTTGATTTTCTAAAGATATTAAATATAATCCTCAATAAATTCCTCTTATTGTTAAATATAATCTTTTACATTTAATATAAAAGATTATATAACATGAAAATTACATAATAATACCTTGCAAGATAAATTCAAATTATTTTAACACAGTATGTAGTAACAATTCTAGAAATTTTTCTTTATATATATAATATAATTATATTATTATAATTATTTTAAAAGAATATTTTACCTTCATTATCAATAGTATTTTTCGTCGCCTCGGAATTTCTGTAATAACCATTCATTATGCTTGGAATTTTTATCCATATTTCTCCTGATTGATTCAGACCAAGTACTTTTCCGCTTTCTGAATCGACAATTTTCATTCGTACATTCTCGGCTACTGTACCGCAGGATCCATTCTTATGATGTTGTTCTTGTATTGTTATAACACCACCGGTTTCCGTCATTCCTAGAAACATAAGAAGTATAGATAGAAACATAAAAATTATATAACGCACATTGATGTATATTGATATTTTATGGCATTATAATGTTATTTACCGTAACATTGCAATATTTGAACATGTGGCAAAATATGCCTTAATTCTTCCTGCACTTTTGTTGTAATTAATGTACCACCGCACTTTATAACTTTCAAAGATGATAATGGATATTTTTGTACGTATCCGGATCTGAGAAATCGATTCAACAAATTTGTGCCAAGGAAAACAGCTTGTATCTGGATAGTAACATAATTTATGCTTTATCGTTATATTTTATCCAGACAATCAATTACAACATTAATAAATAGATAAGCAATTATAAGGCCACATCTACAATCACATAAGCTGTGCCGCAATCAGTGGTGGATGTACATATTTTTGTATCCTAAACTCTATACTTATTTTTGGTCCCTTTTAGAGGAATGAACAATAAAAAAGATATTGACTACCATTAAAAGAATGACGCTCCTAAAAGAATGGTATCCGTAGACCTGGATCTCTGTCAAAATTCGCTACTGATACTGGTTGCAACAAGCTTGCGATCTGTGATACAGTTTATGTGACTATTGTAGATGAGACCTAATACATTCTTTTTTTTTACGTACAATGTGCATTTTTTTGCAAGATGTAAATATGAAATTTGCCACTAATTTAATAAAATGCAATTTGTAACTCTTAAAGGTAAAAATTATTATGTTAATAATACTTATAATTATACTGATATAATTATACTAATAATTATATCAGTAATATGCTATTTGTTTCTGTTAATAGGATAAGTATTAACGATAAAGTATTAAGAGAAAATAAATAGCACATTACTGATATTATAATTATTAGTATAATAATTCTTACCACAGCAATAAATTATTACCTTAAATTAAAACATTATGTGCTTTAAAGAAATTAACTCGATGTTATCACAAGGTTCTCGAAGAGTAAATGCTATCATTACAATTATTCATAAAACTTAACTGTCACAGAAAGTATGTATTTTCAGTACGATATATCTCATTGTCAGTGTTATATTACAATTTTAAAATAAGAATATATAAAAAATTAATTTTTTTATTTTAATTACTTGATTAAAAAAGCCATTCATACACATAAAATAAATAATATATATTACTTTGTATTTCTCGATTAAGCAGTAAGTCATCTCCTCGTCAAATTCTGGATAGATAATTGCTTTGGTGCTTTGTAGAATTCCATTGAGGTTCAGCATTATTCCACTCAACCAATAAAGAGAAGAGAACCAAAGTGATGGCACGTTGGTTATATTTATCCAATTTTGTTGCATTAAATGTAACATAGCGTAGTTAGACAGTTCGACACCCTTTGGCATCCCCGTAGTGCCCGAAGAATGCAAAATGCACCCTGTTTTCTTGATGTCATCAAGCTCGATGTAATGAAAATTTGTTATTTCCGCACTGTTACAATTTTTCAGGATATCAGAAAATGAAATCGTATCGACATGCTTGCCGAAAACTACTACTATGGGACTGCAACAATTCTGCTTCTTTATTGCGTTTAAAATGACATTTGCAGATTTCTCGCTACAGAAGATTACCTTCGGCGTCATTAGTTGTAAAAAATACAGTGCGTTTTCTGATAACAAATAGAAATAGTTCATATATATATATATATCATAAATAATAAAAAATAAACTGTGTTAATTAATATTGTAAAGTTAAATTATCTCCAATTAACAAAAAAGGTAAAATTTAATTGTTGTTATTGGAAACGTATCATTTACAATTCATTAATTTAATAGAATATAATATGAGATAATATATTTGATAATTGCGCAAAAGAACTTACGTAAGTTCATGTTCTCGTACCACGGATTGATGATCGCATTGATATAAGCTATCGAAATACAGGGCACAAAAGTGTTAAGATGATTACCAGTGCTTATACTAATAACGTCGCCAGATTTGATTCCTTGTTTTTGCAACCATAAAGCGCATCTAATGGCTTTATCTTGTAGCTCCGCGTATGTGATTGTTTCTTCAGTAAGTGCGTCCAACTGCATAATAATATTATAAAAAGTTTTCCAAAATTACATATCTAAAATTATTTGTAATTAATTCCTAACTTTTGTTTAAATTTCATTTTTCTACAAGTTAATTTCTTTCTTAGAAATGCTTTTTAAATTATGATTCGTAGCTGCTGAAATAATTATTTTTCATAAGACATAAAATTTAAAACAATACAGTAATTAATTTTTAACAATATTCAAAACAAATAGAACAGGTTATTAGTGTAGGACTAAGTTTATTTTAAATTATTTTAAATTTTAATTTTTTTTACTCACACGTGCAATTTTATCTCCATTATTTTTAATGGCAATCCAAATCAATTCTCCTAAACTTTTGTAATTATTCAAATTATGTTTTATTTGTTCTTTGTAAACACTGTTTTCCATGATGGAAGTCTAGATGTAACAGATAAATATAACAATTTTAATTGTTTACCTTAATGCCTTTGTGTTAGGTATCTTTAATCTATGTACTTTTTACAATACTTATACATATATTATACATATAATATATTTACGAATTTTTAAAAGTAACGAAAAGTAATGAAAAAATTAATCACGCCAAAATCGTCATACGTCTGCTTCAACATTTACCTTGAAATTATTTTCAATCTTTTTACCAGAAATATTCGGATGTCGTAAATGTAGAATCTTAAATACGGTTCAAAAATGTCACTCTAATGCAACACAAAAATAAAGCGTTTTATAAATGTTCTAAATAAACTAACTAGAAGTAACTACTATACACACACACACACACACACACACACACACATATATATATATATATATATGTGTGTGTGTGTGTGTATATATATATATAAGATGTGTGTATGTATGTGTGTGTGTGTGTGTGTGTGTGTGTGTGTGTGTGTGTGTGTGTGTGTGTGTGTGTGTATTTGTATATGTTGGGAAAGATGAGATGAAATATATAGACATATGAGAAGATAAATAGATTTCTCTTCCAAAATCAATTTTAATTAGAATGAGCCTAACAATATATCGGTAAGTATCATTCATTTTCATTATTTATTAATTTTTCTTGGTAGTGGCATTCTATAAAAGCATTAGTTTTATTTATTGATAGAAGCTAAATCTGCAAATTATTTCACCAATATTAATATAATTTAAAAAATACTTATAATCAATAATTAAAAAATAGCTACCAATTATAAGAAGTTATTACTGCTCGTAATTACCTTACAATTAATAAATTATTGTAAACATCAATACACAAAAATAAAATATATGATAGATTATCAAATTTATTTATAAAACAGTTTTAAACTTATAGAAAATGTATTGTGTGTGTGTGTGTGTGTGTGTGTGTGTGTGTATTTTTGGTACCTACTACTAGTAAATATCAAAGTATCCGTATGTAATGGAATAGAACACTCAAAATTAAATAAAAATCGATTTTAATGAAGAAGATTTCGTAAATAAAAAGATTTTCAATATGCAAAGATTATTCTTTCTGATAAACACATTCAGCAGAAAAGTGAGCAAAGAAACTTATAAACACTTATAAACGTCGTTAAAAACTGACTACAAGCATTTATTACCCAGTTACCTCACATACGTATCTATTTCTAGATATCTGTCATATTCTCCTTCCACTACAAATTCCGTTGCCTGCAGACAATCTACGAATCACGAACATTGCTGCAGCATTACTATAAATTTTTGTAATTATAATATGCTTCAAATTATTTTTTGTAGTTTTTAAGTGAGTATATATTATATATACTCACTTATATATATAAACAAGTTAATATAGAATATAAGATATATAGAAAAGTATATATAAACAAGTTAATATAGAAATTTTGACTAACTTTAAATATAGTGCAAACCAATTCCGCCAGTTAGCAAATTAATGACAAATAGTTATTAACATAATAATAATCTGTATATTAAAAAATAAATGTCGATGTTTTTGAATAAATTTGTACATAAAATTATCTTTGTATGTAAAAATTGAAGTATAGCTCAGAATTTTATAGACAATTTACTACTATACTACATATATACTATATATATATGTTTTAAATCTTCAAAATCATGCATTAAATATTATATCAGAAGTATTAATATTTGTCGTCTATCAATTTCAAAGCTTGTTATAATAATTATGACTATTATCTCTTGATAAGAGAACACTTTGATAAGAGAAGATACTTTAAACTCTCACGTAAATATTCTTATAGTGATAAAATATATGTACACACTATCTTTGTTTGCAAATGTTGATATCTAATATGTAATGAGAAAGAATACTAAAATTTGAAAAAGAATAGATAATGTTGCAATTCAAAAGATTCCATGAATAGGAAATATTTTGTTTACTGTACAAAGATTATTCTCTCCCATGAACGAATAGACGATTGATTAACAAAGTATTAATTGTAAACATTGTTAAAAACTGATTTCAAATATTCATTAATTATTTAAACGTTCATAGAAATATTTACAATATTCTTTCTTCACAAATTCCTCAAATAATAAACTTTGCTGCGTCGTATTAGTAACAGTGCCGTATTAGTAACAGTGCCGTATTAGTACTAGAGCCTAATCTAGACTATAGTCTAGGGGCGGCAAATTTAGGAGGGAGCGGTATTTTTCAAAAAGAAGTTCTAAATAAGTAACGATTTTTTGCTATGCGAATGATTGAGAAACTTCCATCGATTAATTAGAGGTTTTGTTCGCGTCGAATACTCCACTATGCTCCTATTATAGTTCCAGTGACATATTAGCATTAAAAGCTAATCTAGGCTATTGCTTAAGGGCGGCAAATTTAGAGGGATGTAAGAATTTCACTGCCTAGGGGTAGCGAAAACCTTAATCTTGTCCTGTGCTTCATTATTATATCAGTTAGTATATAATATTTTTTATTCAATATTTTCTAATACTTATCTTAAGAAAAATATTCTTAAAATTCAAGGTGAAATGTGTCTATTTGTTTTACTTCTCGGTATTACAAATAAAATGTTATGGGTTTGTTTTGTCTTAAAGTAGAAATTTAGAGTGGGAGTACTGATTTGAACAAGTTACATATAAGATACAACGAAAGTTTCTTCTATAAACATAAATTACATAAATTACCCAAAAATTAACTAAAATGATTTGGACTTGCAGCGATGCAACGAAATTATTTAACAAAGTAACGAATACGTTTTTACAGTGATTCTTATTATTTCTTACTAATTCGTGACTCTGTTGAGGAAAAATCATTTTATATTTGTTGTATATTTTTTACTCTTTCAATATTTGACTTTTTACACAACTGATAGCAATAATAAAACTATATGATGGAAAAAATCTGTTCTTATATTTTTATGCCAGAAACGATACTGTATTTTGTTTAACTTCTTTGTAATAAATGGAACACAAACAAGTTATGATATTATAGTTAGCTTATCTGTTTATCAAATATAAAACGTAAAGAATGAGAGTATAAGTGTATAAACATTACGCAATTTAGTGTGTTCAAAAATATTCTCTTTATTTGATTTATTTAATACAATTCTCATGCTTTAGTTTTATTTAAATGCCTGATCAATGATAGTTACTAAGAATAATTCAAACAAAAGTCGAAGTTTTTTTTATCCATGTAAATTAAAACTAAAAAATATCTTCATACACATATATACACTAAATTGCGCAACGTTTAGTTAAATAAAAAATATCTTCATACACATATATACGCTAAATTACGCAGATTATGCATTGGAGATTGAGATTAAGATTAAGATTGAAGAATGCTTAATAACACTATGGATTATATTCAACAACAGATAAGATTGAAATTAGTAAGAATGTCAGGATAGCTATAGAATCATATATAACAAAAATTATTAAATACGCATTTAATTACACTCACACATTTTAATTGTGTTGTTTGTGTATGTAGCATTATTGATCGAAAAAGATCATAGATAAAGATAAAAGATAAAGATTAAGTCAAACAATGCCGCAGTTAATAAATAATGTATGTTTAGATATGAAGAAGAAGAAGAAAAAGAAAATAATTGTTTCTTTACTCCCTTTAATAATTGTTGAAGCAAAACGAAAGAATTAAGTATGTTCACAAGGTTAGTCACGTGACTAAAATACTGGAAACTTATTGGTTGAAATTAGAGTAGGGATGTACGATCTCCATTAATTGTATCGATTTTTGAATCGATTTAGAATCGGATTGTTTGAAATCGATCTATTAAACGATCGGAGCTAAATCAATCGATCTATTGGAGATTGATTCAATTAAAATTTTTTTGTGACATCTCACGAGAAGTGACAATGAAATAGTTCATTAGGCAAAAATGTTTCATATATTTTTAATATTCAGAAATATTTTCTTTTTTGTATTTGTCCATTGATTTCCATTTTATACTCAGCAAAAAAAACATTCAAAAAACTTCGCGAAGCTCAAATAGGCTATATAGGTAGTATTAGGTACTTAATAAAAGGTTTGCTTACTTTATGTTTTTATTTTTTTCTTTTTTTATATATTTTTAAATATTATTTATAATACACAAACAATAGATTTAAAAAAATAATTTTACTATACTAGTAAAAATAAAGTACTATACTCATTTTTCAGTTAGAAAAGACTTACAATATACATAATACAATGTATATAACAAGAAAATGATATATGTCAGTTAATTAAAATAAAACTATTTTTGTAAGTAAAGAGAAGATATTTTCTGTTTATTTACAAAACTATTTATAACTCACATTTATAATATATACCATTAAAATAATGTACGATCATACACATATATAAGAATTTTACATTATTATAAAATATTAATTTTTATTATTATTTATTATTTTAAATTAATTAATCATTGTGCTTTAGCAGTTTCATCGCCATTACTTTCAAATCTTTTTTCGAAATTTTTCCTGAACTTAAATACGGAAACTTATCCAGGAATATCACTCCTGCACGTAGTTTACAATGGTCCATCATATTCTTTGCTACAAAATCTATTAAATCTTGTTCTGTCACCTGTAAGAAAATTAGATTAATGCAAGAAACACAATTATAATACAATTATAATACATAAAAAATATTTCTTAAAATTTAATTCAAATACAATAATATATACAAAATGTTTCTTATTTTATATTAATAAGTAATGTATAAACATAATGATATTCTTTCAATGTTCACAATCGTGTTTAGTTCAATTTATGAAATACTAAGAAAAATAAAGGAAATAAAACTTTATATATTTAAAATATTAAAAAATTATATTAATGTAAAAAATTTTCCATTTATTTTTAATTTATTAATTTTATTGTATCTCCAAAACAATATCTCTACTTCTATTATACATATATACAAGACTAATGTATACCTTCTATAATATATATATTTATTAGATTTAAAAAAAAATATTCTGGAATATACAAAATCAGTTTGCAATTATCAAAAAGATTCCATTTAGTAATTTTGTGTTCTATGAATCTATTATATTTTTATTTAAAAAAATTTAACCTTAGCACCAGGTTGTTTGATGACAAAAGCAAGAGGATGTTCGTCATCTATAGCATGAGGTATTCCTATTATTGCAGCTTCTGACACTGCAGCATGCGATATCAAGATATTCTCAATTTCTCTGGGAGAGATTTGATATCCTCTGTACTTTATCAAATCCTTTATTCTGTCTACAATAAACAATTCACCGTTTTCATCTATATAACCGATATCACCTGAATGTATCCAACCTAGAGATAATTAATATAATTATGTTATTGTAATATTATAATTAATAAAATGATATTATTATAATTATTAGAGGAGAAGCCCCTATTATGAGATACCGAGTTCATTTTGTGTAATTACTAATTGTTTATTGGTAGAATTAAAAAAAATAATAGGTTATTTTAGAGAATTTAATAAGCTTTAAGATAGTGTTATGTAAAATTTAATTCAAATTTTATTTTATTTTTTAATTAAAGAAATGTAAAAAGTGAACAAATCGCAAAGTCGAAAAATTGTGCTCCTAGTATGAGATACCCCGAGAAATCGATAATAAAGCACAAAGTACATCAGTATTAGAATTAAAAAAACTTTATTTGATGTTTCTAACATATCAACGAGTACAGCCTATGCGCTTAAATTGAGCATGTGATGCATTGTATTCAGGATTTGTCTTCAGTAGTAATTGGAATGAAGTATTGCAGAAACAGACCCTCAATGTTCATTCCGGTTATTCTTTTTATTATTGTACAATAACATTTATACTTTAACATCGATTTTCACTTGGGCACAGAAGTATAGATTATTTCATATTAGAAATATCCTGGGTATCTCATATTACGAGTATCACGTCTTACAGTTTTACGATCATCAAATCTAACTTCTTTAATTAAACAATTCAACATATTTCGTATTTTTCTATCAGTACGATCTTACTCTATTACTACATGAAGAATTTATTGCCAAATAATTACTATTAAATAATAAACAGAGATTAAAGGCTTATCTCAATGAAACTCGAAAACATTCAAACTCTAAAATTTTATTTTACAATTACTGTAGGCATGATCTAACAATGAATTTTCCACTAAATAGTTTTCAATCCAAGAGCAATAATTTCATGATAGAATCAACAGATAGCATTTATTAGTTTAGCAGAAACGCCGCTATCTCATGTTAAGCGCCTATCTCATAATAGGGGGCTTTCCTCTACTACAAAAGGAATCTATTTACCTTCTTTATCAATTGTTCTTTCTGTCGCTTCGGGATTTTTATAATAACCAGTCATTATACTTATAAATTTTACCCATATTTCTCCTGACTGATTTGGGTTAAGTACTTTTCCGGTTTCTGGATTAACGATTTTCATTTGTCCACTTTTAACTATTGCTCCGCAAGACCCATTTTTATGATTCGGTAGTTGCATTGTTATAATACAACCGACTTCTGTCATCCCTAAGAACATAAAATAGACGAAATTTTTATAATACATAAACACACATTTCATTTTATATATTCTACTTCATTTTGACATTTTTATTGCATTGTAATATAATAGATTTACCGTAACATTGCAATATTTGAACATGTGGTAAAAAACGCCTCATTTCTTCCTGCACTTTTGGTCTAATTGATGCACCACCGAACGTTATTAGTTTCAAAGATGATAGTCGATATTTCTGTACGTAACCTGATCGATGTAAACGGTTCATCATATTCGTACTAAGGAACACAACTTCTATCTAAATAGTAAAATAATAATTTATGCATTTTATTATATTATGTTGAAATATGACATAAAAATTAATTAAAGGGCCTAGCGGAGTAAGCATGTCAAATCTGCCCTTGATCATACAGAGTTGACATTAATGTCATCTTGTTAGTACCAATATGATAAAACTTTCCAGCAAATATTACTTTAAAAAATTGATTTTTGTAGGAGTTATGGAGGGGGAAAGTAAAAAAAAGAAATGTATTTTTTTCGAAAACCGCTTGACCGATTTTGATGAAAAAAATATATGTTATGTAAACTCGTACAACTAATTAATACAAAATAAATAAAAAATGTTTGCCCATAAAAAAGACCAAAAAAAATTTTTGAATCTTTGTATATTTTTTTTTTTTTTTAATGATATTTTAGAGGTATCATTTTGAAATTTTTATGAGTATTTCTCTTAAGTGTCCTCTATAACATATATTTTTTTCATTTTTTTTGAAGTGGTGGAACATCGCTAAAAATACGAAAATCATAAACGTCTCGTCATTCCGGTTTAACCCTTAGAGGGCCGGAGTTTCAAACATTTTAAAAGTTCATTATTTCTCTTGGAAAGTATTCTAAGGTCCCCAAGTTAGAACTAAATCCATTAATTAATACTTTTTAACTATTTTTATGAAGAAAATTACAGTAGTAAATAACAGTAATAAAATAAATGAATTATGTCAATTTCAGATTTTTTAGTGTTTCTTCTATACTCCTTAAAAAGTAAACAACTTTTTTGTAACTCCACTTTTTTGAAGAAAGATGCCGCAATGAAGTGTAAGATGGCATTTAAAGACAACTTATCTATGCAGGCAGTCACACTGTAAAAATAATACATGAATACATAATCACAAGTACATATACATAAAGCAATATTTAGCTCCAAAAGACAAATAAAATATGTTTCGAATATATGTAACGTAACGAAAGCATCTTTCGAATCTTCGTATGTACCAAACAGAAATCCACTTCTGCAACGGGAGTATAGTAGAGCTCCATGAAAAAAATGACAATTTCTTTATTTAACAAACGTTTCGGTTCTCTTTGATCCGTCTTCAACTATAATAAACAATATAGAATATAATAAAATAAGTTTCTTTTCTGAAATGTAAATAATAATGAGACTAAATTATAATATCTGCTAATAATATTCGTTTAAAAATTCGCTACATTGGGACAAAAAATATATAAAAAATATTAAAAAAAAAAAGTGGGATCAAAAGCTGCCACGTCCACATCGTTGATTCTGGGTAACGCCGAGAGCGAGTAATTTACTTTCGTTTCTCTTATGTCGAGGTAATTTTTACCATTATGAATTAGGCATGTAGATATGATTTTTTATTACAAAATCTGTAAGGGTATTCGATCCGCCATTTTAAATTTTGCAAATCTGTCCTCAGATTTGTAATCAGCGCTCCCAAAAAATGTCAAGTAACATATTAGATATGAAAAATTGTGTTATAACTTTCTGACGGATTCAACATGTGACCTTTACATGCACGACCTTTACGTGCATGCGCCTGTAGGCGTAAGGGCCTTACTCGCCGACATCCGACCTTCATTTAGTTCTAACTTGGGGACCTTAGAATACTTTCCAAGAGAAATAATGAACTTTTAAAATGTTTGAAACTCCGGCCCTCTAAGGGTTAAACCGGAATGACGAGACGTTTATGATTTTCGTATTTTTAGCGATGTTCCACCACTTTAAAAAAAATGAAAAAAATATATGTTATAGAGGACACTTAAGAGAAATACTCATAAAAATTTCAAAATGGTACCTCTAAAATATCATTAAAAAAAAATATACAAAAATTAAAAAATTTTTTTTTGATCTTTTTTATGGGCAAACATTTTTTTATTTATTTTGTATTAATTAGTTGTACGAGTTTACGTAACATATATTTTTTTCATTAAAATCGGTCAAGCGGTTTTCGAGAAAAATACATTTCTTTTTTTTACTTTCCCCCTCCATAACTCCTACAAAAATCAATTTTTTAAAGTAATATTTGCTGGAAAGTTTTATCATATTGGTACTAACAAGATGACATTAATGTCAACTCTGTATGATCAAGGGCAGATTTGACATGCTTACTCCGCTAGGCCCTTTAAATATAAAATTGTGCATATAATTTACAAAATCAATAAAATAATAAGTAAATATCATTTTTATTTAATTATTTAATATTAACCGTTAACTAAATGTAGAAATGATTGTAAAAGTATAATTTATTCATTGAAACTTTAGTAGATATTGATTATGGTATATACATTCTGTTTTAATCTTATAGTTTACATTCTTTTTAATAAAACATATTAACATCTAATTTACCATTAATTTACATGTTAAAATGTAATTTTCAATGATACGACAAATACTAGCAAAAAATTAAGCATCTCATTACAATAATTTTCAAATTTGATTGTAATATATATAACTTTATTATAGATAATTATTATTATGAAATTAATTGTCTCAATTTTATCACAAAAATTATGAGTAATAAAAGTAAACATTATTTATAAAGTTTATCTATAATAAAAAATCTAAATAAACGTGATAACGTATCTTAGTCTCTATATATCACTCTTTCTAAAATGCGAATTTTAATTTTAATTATTTTTACTTTTTAATAAAACTTTCCATAGGGATAAAATAATATTACTTTATATTTTTCGATTAATTGGCAAACCATCTCCTCGTTAAATTCTGGATAGATGATCGCTTTGGTGCTTTGCATGATTCCGGTGAAGGTCATTATTACTCCAGTGATCCAATAAAGAGTAGAGAACCAAAGTGATGGCACGTTGGTCATGTTCATATTATATTCCTGGCTGATATGTAACATAGCATAATTAGACAATTCGACACCCTTTGGCATCCCCGTAGTGCCCGACGAATGCATGATACACGCTGTCTTTTTAATGTCATCAAGCTCGACGTAACGGAAATTAGCCACTTCCATATCGTTGCAACTTTTCAGGATATCAGAGAATGAAATCGCATTGACATGCTTACCAAAAACCACTACCGTAGTATTGCAATTCTGCTGCTTTATTGCGCTCAAAACGATATTTACAGATTTCTCGCTACAGAAGATCATCTTTGGCGTCATCAGTTGCAAAAAGTATAATGTGGTTTCTGATATAACAAATAACTCATAAATAATAAAAAGTAAAGGCTCTTTATGGTTTAATTACCTAATATTAGTGCAAATTGAATAAAATTTAATTATTATTGGAAAGGAATTCTTTTTAAACTTTCAATCTAAAGGGATGTATTATGTGAGAATATTTGATATAAGAGAGATTATCACGCAAAATAACTTACGCAAGTCCATGTTTTCATTCCATGGATTGAAAATTGCGTTAATATAAATTGCCGAAAGGCAAGGAACGATGGAATTAAGATGATTGCCTGTGCACATACTAATAATGTCGCCAGATTTAATTCCTTGTTTTTGTAGCCATAAGGCGCATCTCACAGCTTTGTTTTGTAATTCTGCATATGTAACCGTTTCTTCAGTGCGAGCATCCAACTACATAGTATTATCATAAAAATATTTTAAAATTACAAGAAATTAGTTATGTTACAGAGTCATTAGATTTGCAATTAAAAAAACAATTAAAAATTTCGGAGTATCAATTTTTCACAAATATTATTATATAACAAAATTAAATAAAATTTAAGCATTACTTATCTGCAATTATTTGTACTTAGTTTTAAGCAACATTATTTAAATTTGTTTTAATATTCTACAAATAAAAAAAACCTTCTTTTAAAAATCTTTATTAAATTATATGTTTGAAATTTCAGATAATGTACCGGATCAAATAATTGTCTCAATTGTATTTATCTAAGAATTACTTTTTGCGATAAAATTTAAAATAAGGTAATTCTCTTTTACACCAGAAAAAATATCTTAATTTCAAAGAAATGTTCATTGAGCTAAAGAAATAATTTTTTCATACGAGCAACCAAAAGTTATATTACTTTGAAATTAAGATATTTTTTAATGTAATAATATATTAAAGACAAATAAAGCAGATCGTTACTGGTGTCAGGACTGATTCCACAATTATTCCAAATGGTAATTTTTTACTCACTTGTGCGATTTTATTCCCGTGGCTTTTAATGGTAATCCATATCAATTTTCCGAAACTTTTATAATTACTTAACTTATGTTGCGCTTGCTCTTCGTCGTTTTCCATAATGAAAATCTATCTGAATGCAACAAATGAACACACTGTTAAACTTATTTCAACAAAATTATCTTTTCAAAAAAAGGGAAAAAAGGAGCCAAATGTGCGTGTTTGCCTCACAAAAAATCGCTACATATATTATTACAGTATACAAAAAATGAAATAAAATCTTTAAATTGCGCCAATTGTAAAAGGAATATATTTTCTTGCCACATATATAACATATATAACATATACTTTATTTCAAAAAGTAAAAGTACAAAAATCTTGGCGCTGCTATACCATAAATATAATAAATGAATGTTACATTTACAATTATTACATTTACAAAATTGCAATATTTTTGTGTTATATGTCTAAAAATCTAAAAATCTATATATTCTACGGCAATCATATACTTACGACTTTTTTAATGTAATAAACATAGAGATATATTAAATCATACTTGTGTATAAAAGAAATTTAAACTTATAAAGAATGCACAGTACCTTTACCAAATTCAAAGTATCGTCAAAGTATCCGTATACAATGGAATAGAATTCTCAAAATTAAATAAAAATTTTAATGAAGAATCTCGTGTTTGGTGAATAGAAAAATTGATCCACTACGCAAAACTTATTCTTTCCGATGTACATTCAACACACAAGTGCCTAACAAAACACTTATGAACGTTATTAAAAGCAAACTATAAATACTATATTTATCGACTTTATTGTGTATGTCTCTAGATATCTATGACATCACTCGATTAAATAACGCTAAGCTTGCAAGAAATACATAAATAGTCAACTTTGCTGCGCCATTTCGTTTCATAATATCACGAATATATGTATACGTAAATAATGAATATTAAAACAAAAATATTCTTTGTTCATGATTTTTTTATATTATTATAAATGTAAACAAATTCTTAAGTAATTAATCGGGTATATCTACTTTTAATGTGATATTTGATATATTTGCTGTGCCAGAATTTCTAAACAAATCTTAATCTTAAGATAAAATAAAAGTATTGTGTGCACTTTATTTTCAGTACCTATTTATAAAAAATAATATATTATAGATATATAATATATTATAGGTATAAAAGATAAAGGAATTAAAAATGAGCATATACCACGACGCTAGATAGATTTAGCGAAATTATATTGTATTTCGTAGAATATTAAAACGAAATTTTTATTAAACAATTCGGCCTTTAATATGACCATCATCGGTAAACGAAGAAAAATTACTTTAATATATTACGAAGATTATTACTTAAATATGGCGTTTCGTCCCAGCTTCCACTACTGGACTCGTCAGTAAGGCATTGTAGTGGAAGCCTACCTTATACGCCTGCAAGAGTTATTTAATCGAGATTCTATATATAGCGATATACGCGTATTAAAGTCTTGCGAGAATTTATAAATATCTATAGACCTCTGATGGCGGGTCGACGTAGTAATATTCTTCGCAATATTTTATCCATAGTAATGTATATATGTATTACATCCATCCCCTCCCTTTTAATTTGGCGCGTTTTATATATAATATTAAATTAATTTTTCTTCGTTTACCGATGATGGTCATATTAAAGGCCGAATCGTTTACTAATAATAATAAAAATTTCGTTTTAATATATTCTACGAAAAATACAATATAATTTCGCTAAATCTATCCAGCGTTCGTGGTATATGCTCATTTTTAATTACTTTATCATTTATTACTAAACCACATTAAAAACTTATATTTATAGGTATATTTATAGATAATATAGAAAAATATCAAAGTACAAATAAAAAAATTGTACCTCAAATGTGTTAAGGCCAGTGGATCGAGGAAACAATCACAACACAATGGTTATATATTAATCGATAATATATTTCGCCGAGTTACAAAGGAGACATCAGTGTCTTAGATCGACGAATATCGTAAACTCGATGCGCACGAACTCAAGAGAGAATTATATAAAAATAGAAGAATGGCGGTGTAACTCAAGCATTGATAAAGTTAACACCAGCAGTGCTGTCGCTGATAGACTGTGGAGTGAGCGCACCACGCGCACACTATGTTAGAACGTTCATCTTAACAAAAGATGCCTTAAATGTACCTATTAGGAGATGCGGTAGTGTCTCCGGTCATGTTCAAAAACTGAAAGACACTACAAGTCTCTTATCCCGAGCTACCAAAGTCCATTTTTCGGGGGTGCATAATTACTAAAATATAAAAAATTTTGAATCGAACGTTATATGTCTTGAAAGGCGGTATTCCCACGAGTAATTTGAACCAAAAAATTTAAAATCAGTCAAGCCGTTTTGGACATACAAGGGTATATTATAGATATTTTTATTTATTATATAACATAAAATTTTTGAATAAACGGACATTTAGCATTTCAAGTATTCACTTTACCATTTTTTTAGTCATTTCTTTCAAATCTTTTCTTGAAATTTTTCCTGAACCTGTATATGGAAAATTGTCCAGAAATATAACTCCTGCACGTAATTTATAGTGATCCATCATGTTCCTCGCCACAAAATCTATCAATTCCTGTTTTGTCACCTGTACAAAAAGATTAATATCAGTGAAGAAAAATTGATAATGTGCATAAAAATATTTCCTATTTTCTGTGATATACTGTTTCAATCCAATAATAAAAAATAATGTTTAATTCAATTTATTACAAAAAATACTCGTAAAAGATAACAAATTTATACGGTGGTTTTATATAAATTGTTGATTTCTATTTGCATAAAACGCCTTTATTCACTAAATTTTTATCAAGTTAATATATTTTAATTCGTTTTCTCAATTTCTTTGAATATATCAACGTTTTTGTTTTTATAAGTATGATTCTTTCTGATCCACTAGATATTGTATTTTAAGAAAATATTTTATGAAATGTTCAAAATTTTCCTATTAGTAATATACGATTTATTATTAATAATATTCTAATTTTCTTATAAATCTTTTATTCTAGAATTTTATCGTATTTATAACAAAAGATTGTACCTCGGCACCAAACCTTTTGGTAATATAAGCAAGAGGATGTTCATCGTCTAATGCATGAGGCACTCCTATTACTGCAACTTCTAGCACCGCTGGATGTGACATTAACGTACTTTCAATTTCTCCGGGAGAGATCTGATATCCTCTATACTTTATGAGTTCTTTTATTCTGTCAATAATGAACAATTCTCCATCCTCATCTACATAACCGATATCACCCGTGTGCAACCATCCTAATTTTTTAAATTTACATCTTGATGATATTAGATTTTTATAATATTATTATGTATTCTTTAATCTAATGGAATATATAATACCTTACTTAATTTTTAAATACATTAATTGTAAATAATGTTTTTGAATGTAATTATGTTTATTATTATTGTTATGACATAGAATTTCTTTACCTTCACCATCTATCGTACTTTTCGTTGCCTCAGGATTTCTATAATAACCATTCATTATGGTTGCAGATTTAACCCATATTTCTCCTGATTGGTTCGGACCAAGAATTTTCCCGCTTTCAGGATCTACAATTTTCATTCGTACATTCTCGGCTACTGTACCGCAGGATCCGTTCTTGTGACTCGGTAGTTGATATGCTGTAAAACTGCAGGTTTCTGTCATTCCTCAAAACAAAAAGAATAATTAAAATTTTATAACACATTATTATGTATACATATATTAACTAATGTATTGTATTATAATAATATTTACCATAACCTTGTAATATATCAACATGTGGTAAAATACATCTCAGTTCTTTCTGCATCTGCGGCTTAATAATTGCACCACTGCTCATTATAACTTTTAAAGACAATAAAGAATATTTTTTTACGTAACCTGCTTTCAGAAACCGATTAATCATGCTTGTGCTAAGAAAAATAAATGCTACCTAGACAATAAAATAGTTTAGGTTTCTGAATTATATCATATTGTGCGTAAACTACTTAAATTATTGCAGAGTGAATCAGAGTTGTTGAATCAACTTTTTACCGTATGAGAAAGTTATAATATTAAGATATACAGATTTAATTGAATATGCAGTCGCTTTCTCATACGGTAAAAAGTTGGTACAATGACTCTGATTTACCCTGTATAATACATAATATATATACGTATAAGTAGAGATAACATAAAATCATGATTTTAATATATTCTTTCTTTCAATTATATAGTTACAATTTGACGGCAAAATATTATGTTTAATTTATTATTAATTATAAAAATACAATTTATTACTAACAAATGCACGTCATTGAACAAAAGTTTTGATTCAAAACGTAATAGTATTATTATATCTATAATAATAATTAATTATCGTATCAATTGTTTGCTTAATTTAAAAATTTATTGTTAAAGTATACTTGAAGAAAATCAATTCACTTCAACTTTGCAAAAGAAAGAAACTAAACTATCGCAATAATTTATATTTATAGTAAAAATTTAATGTATTTTACTTTTATTTATTTTAATATCTTTTAGTATGTGTTTGTGTGTGTGAAAAATTTTATTATTTTAGAAAGGAACATTAAAAAAATAAAAATTATTCCGTTTTTATTATTTTATAAATAAAAAAAAGATAAAAGCTTTTATATATAACATAATATTACTTTGTATTTCTCGATCAATCGACAAGTCATCTCCTCGTTAAAATCTGGATAGAGGATCGCTAAACCACCTTGCACGATCATATTCAGATTCATCGCTGTCCCACTCAGCCAATAAAGAGAAGAAAACCAAAGTGATGGCGTGTTAGCCATATCCAAAGTACTTTGCTGAATGACGACTAATAGTGCATAATTAGACAGTTCAACGCCTTTCGGCATCCCCGTAGTGCCCGACGAATGCAAAATGCACGCCGTCTTTTTGATATCTTCAAGCTCAACGTAACGGAAATTTGCTACTTCTACATCAGTGAAATTTCTCAGAATATCAAAAAACGAAATCGCATCGACATGCTTGCCAAAAATTACTATCGTAGGATTGCAATTATCCTTTTTTATCGCACTCAAGACAACATCTACGGACTTTTCACTGCAGAAGATCACTTTTGGCGTGGTTAATCTTAAAACGTGCAGCGCACATTCTGGTAACAAATAACTTATAAATAATAAAAAAATAAATATTGCTAAGTATCTATAAGAGTATATTAAATATAGAAGATAAAATTAACTCGCACTGTCATTGGAAATGTATTTGATAATTGAGGAAAAACTTACGCAGGTCCATGTTCTCATTCCACGGATTGAAGATTGCCTTGATATAAGTTGCCGAAAGGCAAGGCACGATGGAATTGAGATGATTGCCAGTACATACACTAATAACGTCATCGGATTTGATTCCTTGTTTTTGCAGCCACAAGGCGCATCTCACAACTTTATCTTGCAGTTCCGTGTATGTGATCGTTTCTTCAGTGCATGCGTCCAACTGTGTATATTATTTTAAAAAATGTTCCAAAACACAACAAAATTAGTTATATTGCAGAATTATCAGTTTGCGATTAAAAGATTCAAACACAACTTTAAAATGTATATCTTTTACTAATTAATAACCAAAATTAAATTTTACTAAAACAATGTACAATCGTAAAGTCTTTCAATCAATTTTTAAAGAATGCTATTTTAATTCGCTTGTAGTTTTTTCGAATTTATTCTTTTTTTAGAAACGCCTATTAAATTGTATCAAATATGGAAAATTTGTCAACTAGTCTTAAGGTATTTATTATTACTTATCGTCTCTATTAAAGATTAAAAAAAAAATAATTTTTTACAGTATTAAATTAAAAGTTTTATTTATAATAACGTTGTTTTATTTTTTTATAATAATTTTATTTATAATATTGTTGTTACTAGTGTAATAATTAATTTTCCGCACCTTTTTTAAATTGTAGTTTATATTCTTTTACGTATCCGTTTCTAAATTTTTGATCTGTTTGCTAATATATATTACATAACATTAAATAAAAAATTGTTTTAACGTTAAATTCTTTTACGTATCCGTTTCTAAATTTTTGATCTGTTCGCTAATATATATTACATAACATTAAATAAAAAATTGTTTTAACGTTAAATTTACTGGACAGTGTCATAAAACATGTGGTTAAAAGAAAATGCACATTAGCATCTCTATAAATCATGTCAACATTAAATTTTAATGGTTTTCTCGATTGTGTTTTATTGTTTTATTCTGTAAAACTTTGACGACAGCTATCATGTGTACGTGACTTTGTTAACCAAAGATTACCGTCTAGTATTACATAAACGTGATTTTATTACGCTTGTCTGGTTATTAATGGCTGCCTTTTAAATCTACATTTTAGTTGTTTCGTGATTTCTTTCATACATTTATCTTAGCATTTTACAATTATTTTAGACAATGTTTTTTGAGACCTTTCATATTTTACTTTAATTTTTAATCAAAAATAATATTTTATTTTATTTAAATAAAGAACTTGCATCACCTAGTGTTTAACTTGTGTGTAACAGTTTATATAATAAAAAGATTATATTTTATAATAGTGAAATAATGGTAGTTTTAATATTTTTTTCTACAAATACGTTTGCTTCTATAATTATGTTATAAACAACTTTGCAAAAAATGCTGAAGACAATAACTGATGCAATTAAGTATTTGCACACATAAAACATTTGATCGAAATTTTAATATCAAAATTTAAAACATCCTTTCTATACAGGGTGATCCGAAATTCGCGCATTTGAAGTACATAACATGATACTTTATGCTAAATCAAACAACTTTTTCCTTTAGAGCAAAATTGCGTCCGACAAATAGTTCTTGCAAGAGAGCTTGTTAATGTTAACTAATAAGGGCTCTGATTCATGTAGCGCTCAGAGTTGGCGCGCGTGCCTCACTCGCGTGTATGTACCTAGTCCGTAACTACTATAATGTCTTTTAAGACGCTCATATACAGCTCTGTTAGTTTACGCGATATTTTAAAACTGTACTTAAAATATCTTATCTTAAATAATAAGAAAAAACTATGAACAATATCGATATTTGATCTTCTTCCATATTGTGTTGCATAAACAATGAAAAATTAATAAAATTAATAGTGTCTTTATTTCTTACGAAAGCAATCTATATTCATTATTATTAATATCAATCTTTTAATTCTAGAATAATTTTTAATAAACTTTTTTTTATTTAAATAGACATAAATTTTAAAAGTTTACATTCTTTATAAATTTTATGTATTATATTATATTAATGTTATATGCATATAAACATGACTTACATATGCAATTTTGTTCCCGTGATTTTTAATCCTGATCCATACCATTTCTCCGAGACTCTTGTATTTATTCAAGTTATGATTTATTGGTCCCTCGTAAATGCCATTTTCTACAGTAAAATTCTGTATATAACATATACAAATCAGATTATTTTAATTGTTTATCACAATATTTTTGCAGTATATGTTTTTTATTTAAAAAATCGCAAATACACACATGTGAAACACTATACATTTATAACTTTTTTTTAAATGTAACATAACAAATTAGAGCCACATCAATAAATTACTATATAATTTTACACTTACCTTTGGATTATGTTCAGTTTTGTTAGAAATATTTGAATCTTCCATCGTAAATATAAGATTCCAAATGCGTTCCAATAATGTCACTCTATAATAATGTATCGTAAATAGAGCGTTTTAGTTATTTTAAATAAGCGAACTAAAATTAACTATCAAATGTGTAAAATATATGTGTATACATATTCGTTGTGTGCTTATTGATTTTTATTAGGCTATTAAAGCAATGATTTTTATTGCATCTTTTGTTTTTATTAAATCGTATAAATATTAATTTTATTGTTAGAATTTATATCATATAATACTTATAGCAAAGCACAGAACAGCTACATGTAATAGGATATTTGTAATATTAGCAGTTGACCTGAAAAGCGCGATTGCAAATCGTTTGAATTCAACAATTGTAATAAAACTACAATTTCAAATTGTTCCTTTTAAAAGTAATAAAAAAAAGGAAATGTTTTAATATTGTCATTTATTTTATTTGACAGTTATACATAATCTACTTATATAAGGGAGTATTAATAAATTCAGAAAATACTCGTTAACAAAAATAAACTAACACTAGAAAATGATTATTAAAAAACCATCACTAATTGTCAATTTATAAAATGATAAATTATTGTACATAATTATATTTAATAATAATATAGAAACAGGATAAAAATCATGTGTTTATTACTTACAAAATATATTTAAACTTATATAAGCCACACAATACCTTTGATTCTCGCTTTGATTATACAAACTGTTGAAATATGCGGTGTAGAGAAAAAATGTTAAAATTTGAAGAAAAATTGATAACGTTAATTACAACGAAGAAGATTCCGTGACTGGAAGACCGAAGAGTTTTCCACTACTCGATGAACATTTAGCAGAGAAATGAGTAACGAAGCGTTCGTGAACGTTGTTAAAAGTAAACTGTAAGCATTTACTAACTACTCATTGCATATATATATATATATATATATATATATAGATTATTTATAATGCACCCCTTCTTTTTTTGATATATCTATTGTATCTCTCTCTCATAAATCACGTTAAGTTTCTAATTGCGCAAATCATAAACATTTGCGTCATTATTAGATCAATGTTTCTTTTTCACGTTTTATGACATTTATCTTAAGAACAATATTTTTAACATAGATGACTGAATGTATATCTACATTGTAACTTCGTACTTTAATCTTTTGATGTAACAAATGAAATATTACGAATCTTTTTCGCCTTGGTAGTCAGAACTCGGAGTAGGAAAAACGCTCGTTAGAAATCATAGATACGAGTCACTCTTATTATACATATATATCTCACAAACTTTATTTATTCAAACATAAATTACAAACCTTATGCCCAAAGTTATCTAAAATAATTTGCATTAGCGCGGATGAAATAAATTTATTTAGCGATACAATATGACTCATCTCTCAATTACTTTCGATTCGTACTTATCAACTTTGTTATTATTTCTGACTTTATTCACCTGATTCTTACTGATTGTTATTCTTGACTCCTTTACTAATTTTTATTGACTCCGAAACGATTAGACGCAATTATATACATGTAGTCGTCTTTATTGCAAAATTCAATAAAGCTTTAACTATCAACCCGTCCATATATGACTATGTTACACGATAACCTTAATCGGATTTAATAATATATATACAATTATGAAACTCTGATCAATTATAGCTATTTTCGTAAAAAATGAAATGGTTGCGATTGGTCAGTTTCATAACATACTGATGTTATTAAGAGGATGCTGGACCCACCAAATTGTGGGTACTTTACAGCCATAGGAAATCTCCGAATTGATTGAACGAAATCAAAAATTCTTTTAGAGGATTAAAGTAGACACAAAATAAAGTCTACGATCTTAACTAATTATGAGTCAAATACGCGTGACCAAAGATCAATTGCGAGGATCAATTCTGCAATCTTACATTTTTCAAAAATGTATGATATGATTTCCATCGAGGAATGATTATCAATTAAATATCAAATCGACATTGAAATCATTATACCGATGTCAATTTGTCATTAATTCGATATTAAATCATTTTTTATTAGTTGTTACGTAACCTCAAATGCCTTTAAATAATTATAGCTACCAGATTACGACAACTTTTAATGCCAATTATTTAATGTATACTTTCCATGTATAATTTATTTTAATTTCTGTCTCTTTTATCTCTTTATATTTTTAAATATAATATTAAACAAAACATACAAATATTAAAAATAATAATTTTGCAGCCGTTACAGCTGAAACACATTTTTTTAGAAATTATTTAAATCTAGATGTTATATATTTCTATCAATTATAATAAAACAATTTTCATAATAACAAACAATAATCTACGTTTATAATATCTTATTTTATTTTGAAATAATATAAGTTTATAAACATTTATAAATTTAAATGATTATGTATAAAAGAATATAATTATACAATTAATCATCATAATTTACTAGTTTCTTAGTCATTTCTTTTAAATCTTTTCTTGAAATTTTCCCTGAACCTGTATATGGAAAACTATCCATAAATATAACTCCTGCACGTAATTTGCATCGATCTTCCATATTCTTCGCTACAAAATCGATCAATTCCTGTTCTGTCACCTATACAAAGAAAATTAAATCAGTGCAAAAAAATTAATTCAGTACATAACAAATATTTCTTATTTTGTACTAAAACATAATATATAAATATAACACACACACACAATAATCTTAAAGCTATTTTTTTTCTTCGCGATTCGTTTGTTTTTATGGAATCCTAAATCCTTAAACTTAAATTTTTATATTTATTCATCGCACTCTAATTTTAATTGAGTTAACAAACAAATTCTTTCATTTATTTTTTAATCATTTTAATCATATCAATATCTATTTTTATAAGTTTTTTAAATGAGCATCTATTAAATATTTTTAAAAATCTTATGAAATACTCAAAATACGACTTGCTGTTAAAAATATTTTCATTTTATTTTGTAAATTTTTATTTTATGACTTTATCATTTATATATAACAAAAGATTGTACCTCGATGCCAGGTCTCTTGGTGACGTAAGCAAGAGGATGTTCATTATCTAATGCATGAGGCACTCCTAATACTGCAACTTCTAGCACCGCCGGATGTGACATTAACGTACTTTCAATTTCTCCGGGAGAAATCTGATATCCTCTATACTTTATGAGTTCTTTTATTCTGTCAATAATGAACAATTCTCCATCCTCATCTACATAACCGATATCACCCGTGTGCAACCATCCTATTTTTTAAATTTATTTTTATGCCACTATATATTTATAACATTACTATATATTTTTTGAGATATAATTTTTGCATGTGTTAGATCATAAGTAATTTATATTTTTAAAATATAAATATATTATTTATTATTACAACAAATAAAATTTCTTTTTACCTTCTTCATCAATCGTACTTTTTGTCGCTTCAGGGTTTTTATAATAACCAGTCATCATGGTTGCAGATTTTAGCCATATTTCTCCCGATTGATTTTGTTCAAGTACTTTCCCACTTTCACGATCCACAATCTTTATTTGCACATTTGTAATTACGATTCCGCAAGATCCGTTCTTTTGATGTAATTGTTGCGTCGTTACAGGACCACCGGCTTCTGTCATTCCTAGGAACATAAAAAGTATAATCAAAATTAATATCATCCACACAATATATGTTAATATCTTATTGCATTTTTTATATTTACCGTAACCTTGAAATATTTTAACGCGAGGTAAAGTATATTTCAATTCTTTTTGCACTTTTTGATTCATAATTGCACCACCGTAGACTATAACTTTCAGAGATGATAAAGTATATTTCTTTATACAATTCGCTCTGAGAAACCGACTTAGTAAGCTCGTACTAAAAAATAAAACTTCTACCTAAACAATAAAACAATTTACATTTTATCATATATCATTCGCAAACTACTTGTAAATATAAAACTAATCATGTAATTTATAATATAAAATAGATATCACATATTATAAAATGTTGTAATATATTTTTCTTAGCCGTTACACTTATGTTAAGTGTAAATTGTAACTGTAAGATATTATGTTTAATATGCTATTAATTCATCAAAATGCAATTTGATAACTCACAAATGTATTGAACAAGAAATTTTTACAAAAATTTACAAAAACTAATATAATTTTAATAAAAGATAAGTTGTGATATACATAGAAATTGCACAGCTATCAATTTAATTTAAAAGCCTTAGATTATAATTTAAAAAAATCAATTTACTTTAACTTCATTATGGAATTCACGAAAGAGTAAAAACCAAATCAAAATGAAAATTTACTTATACCAAAGAATTATTTACATCTACTTATTTACATCATTGTGAAACCATTTACATAGTTACATTGTATTTTAGAAAATTTAAAAAATTAAAATAATTAAAATATTCTTTAATTATTCATTAAAACTAAGAAAAATAAACCTTTCTATATACAACATAACATTACTTTGTATTTCTCGATTAGTCGGCATGTCATCTCCTCGTTAAATTCTGGGTAGATGATCACTTTGTTGCCTTGCTCGATCGTAATCAAATTCAGTAATACTCCAGTCACCCAGGAAAGAGAAGAAAACCAAAGTAATGACATGTTAGATATGTTTTTATTTGTATCCTGACAAACAAGTAACAAAGCATAATTGGACAATTCAACGCCTTTTGGCATTCCTGATGTGCCTGACGAAAGTAAAATACACGCTGTCTTCTTGACATCAACAAGGTCGATGTAACGGAAATTTGCTACTTCCACATCGTTGTAATTACTTAGAATATCAGAGAATGAAATCGCGTCAACATGCTTGCCAAAAACTACTATCATAGTATTACAATTCTGCTCCTTTATCGCGCTCAAGACGACATCCACCGATTTTTCGCTGCAGAAGATCACTTTCGGCATGATCAGTCGCAAAATGTGCAGGGCAGTTTCTAATAATACATAACTCATACATAATTAAAAAAGTAAACATTAAATATTAAAATATTTTAAAACAAACAAAATTGTATTATTGCGCATATTTTATCTGAAATGCATTATTATTTCTAATTTTATTGCATACAATATGAAATACATACATATTTAATAATCGCGAAAGAACTTACTTAGGTTTATATCTTCGTCCCATGAATTGAAAATCACATTGATATAAGCTGCCGAAAGACAGGGCACGATGGAGTTAAGATGATTACCCGTGCACACACTGATGATGTCATCAGATTTGATTCCTTGTTTTTGTAGCCATAAGGCGCATCTTACCACTTTATCTTGCAACTTCGCGTATGTGACCGTTTCTTCAGTGCACGCGTCCAACTATATAGTATAGTATATTGTCATAAAAAATATTTCAAAACAGTAAAGAAGAGATTTATTAATTCGTTATTTTAAAAAATCATCTATAATATTAATAAAATTATTGATAAAATCATCTTTCGGAACATCTTTTACCTATTAAAAAAAAAATTTGACAAAAACTGTAAATAATCTTAAAAATGTTCAATCAGTTTTTAAAGAATTGTATTTAAATTTGTCTCTTTTGTTTACTTTGGATTTGTTTTTTAAAGGCCTATTTAATTGTATCACGAAAAATTTCCGAAAAGATAGTCTCAAGATATTTATTACTATAATCATTTCTGTCCATGATTAAATTTAAAACAAAACAATTTTTGACACTGTTATAATAAGAATTTTATTTATGACAGTGTTGTTACTATAGAGTTATGATTAATTCTGCAATTATTTCAAAATTACAACAGAAATTTTTTTACATGCAATGTAAAAAGTTTTACATGTCTGTTTATATATTTCAAAATTTTTCTATTTACATGCTCTAACGTGTATTTTACAAACATTACATAAAATATTGCTTTGATTGTAAATCTCTGGAAACTTCGTAATGTAAATACGTAATGTAAAAACATATATACAGCATAAAATATATCATCGCGAAATGTTAAAGATTTTCTCAAGAATGTTTTCCATATTTAATGTCGTTGAAAACTTTGATGTTAATTATACATGACTTCACTAACTAGATTATCGTCAGGCATCATATAAATCTGATTTTATTTACAGTCTTCATCTTATAACATTATTTTTACATATTATTATTATATTTTATATTTTTACACTTTATAATATCCATACTGTAACTATACAAATATACATTCTCTTTTAGTTTAGTACTATTTATTTATTTCAGAAATTAACTAAAAACATATATTTTTGATGAAATAAATTTTTATGAATACAATTTGCATGCATTATATTTCTTTACTTATTATTACATATTTTTACTAAAATTAGAAAAAAGAAACTTCTCTTCAGATCGTTGACTTCTTATTCAAACTTAATCTCTTTAGATTTTGATAACTTAATCTCTTTAGATAAACAATAAACAAACAAGAAGAAAAAAGCCAATAACGGTCAAAGCTAGCTCACAAATGCTTATTAAAATTATGTGTGAATTTTATATACTGCGTTATAAGTCTGAAAAAATTTCGATACGCGATTTAGGGGACTACATACTCAGTAGGTATATAAAATTCACACATAATTTTAATAAGCATTTGTGATCTAGCTTTGACCGTTATTGGCTTTCTTCTTCTTGTTTGTTTATTGTTTATCAATTGTACGGTCTTAAAAAAAAAGATTTTAGTATTTGTTAATCTCTTTAGATTTTGATAAAAAAGAAGAATCCAAATACTTGGAATGTAATTTTTTGAAGTGTGTTAATCAAAGATTTGTATTTAATCAAAACTTAAATTACGGTTTATCAGATACCATACAAACATTTTGATAGAGGAACAACCGTAACCTATATAAGTACTTATCATTGCCAACATATAAATCATTTTAATTCTAAAAAAATATCTGTTTTTAATAAATAATTTCTCTTATATTATATATATATTTCTATAAACATATACATTTTAAAGTTTATATTTCTTTCTAATAAATTCTATATATGTATATTAATTATATTATATATAGTATTGACTCACATGTGCAATTTTTTCTCCATGCCTTCTAATGTTATGCCATATTATTTCTCCGAGACTCTTGTATTTATTCAATTCATGATTTACTTGCCCCTTATAAACGCCATCTTTCATAGTAAAACTCTGTAAATGACATACAAATCAGATTGTTTTAAATGTTTATTACAATACCTTTACACTATATCATATATGATTTTAATATACATATTTAACGTCATATAATTGTGATTTTTTCAGCGAACGTAACATGTAAATATTAGTTACATCAACAGATTACTATGTAATCTACTAATTTTACGCTTACCTTTGAATCTTGTTCAAGCATTTTACTGCAAATATCTGGATGTATTATCGTAAACAAAGATTCTGAATGTGCTCCAACGATGTCACTTTACGATACTGCGTCATAAATAGAACATTTATTTAGTTATTCTAAATGAGCGAACTAAAATTGACTATCAAATTATGTAAAATGTGTGAATGTTTGAAAAATATAATGTACACTTATAAATGTTTCTAAACACTCTTTATTTATAGAAATTCCGAAATATAAAGAATAAAATATAAAATAATAAAACCAATGTAAATAAGTGACTCTTGAAATAAAAAAATAAATATTAATAAAAAGGGCAAAATAAATTTCAAATACAAAAACAATAATACATATAAAACAGTTAAAAATTAAAAATTAAAATAATAAACGTTAACCGGACGTTTCAACTCAGTTCGAATCATCTTCAAGCGGAAAATACATATATGTAAATATATAATATGCATTATGTTTCTCTTAATTTATTATTATATATTTTCATTAAAATTAGAAAAAAGACTTTATTTTTTCTTAGATCTTTGATTTTTGCAAGCTTAAACTCCAAAAAACTTAGGTTTTGATACTATGTATTCTATTCAACGAGAGAATGACGGATCGAATAAATATTTATCTATTTTATGCTTGTTCTAAAATGTAAATATGCCTTGGATCCTGGCGTATCGTATCTCGTATTACGATAATAGATATAGTCTTTTAGATTATACTGCCTCCTACGCGCAGATGAGATCACTCCCTCGTTGAACAGAGTATGTATGTCCAATTTTTAGTATTCCATAGATAAGTATTTCAAACATCTTGATCACAAAATTATGTTTAATCTGGCATTTAATTTCTGCGAAATAAAAAAAAATTTGTTTTCCACTTGCTCTACATTTGTTGACGAAATAATTTTCTAACAATATAATTATATTATGTTTTCTGTATATTATTTTACTTATTGTATTTTATTATAATATTAAAGCTTTATTTTATAAACACAATTTATGGTTCGTTCTATAATTCTTATTAAAGTAAATTAACCTTTATCTTCATTAAATTGTATAAATTTTGATTTTACTATGAGAGTTTGTATAAAGTATACTTGTGTAGAAAAAGATAGAAAAAAAATAGACACATGCAACAAAATACTTATTACACTAGCAATTGATTTGAAGAGCTACTGCGAGTTACTTGGAAACAAGTATTGAACTATATGAAAACAAAATAATCTTTCAAACAAGAACTAAATAAAAGCAATAACTAGTATACGACCGTTAGTTCCCATTCGGTATAAACCAACCAACCATATATCGATATTTGAAAATATTATATAATAACCGAAATAAACCATTTATATAAATATCGGTATAACCGGTTATACATATCTAGCAGTTTAAATATACACCCAGAGAAAGGTTTCTTCAAGAAATGTTTTTTTGTTATACGATTAAAGAAAAAATTTCTTTAATTAATTGAACGTAATTTCTTTGATTTAAACATCACTTTTTAAAATCAATAAATTTTTTCTTTAATCGTATAGTACAGAAACATTTCTTTGAAATGAAGAAAGTATACACTTTCTCTGAGTGTATAAACTGATAAAACCGGAACAACTGGTTACACTGCTATATATATGTGTATATACATGTGTATATATTTATATTAAATTAGATATATTATACATATATTAGGTGTGTGATTCGTTTTGAGTTTTTTTTTTTTAAATTGATTTATTTAAACAAGATAATGAACGAATATCTTAAAATATTTTCATCTTTTGTAAAACCTTTAAATCAAATTCCTAATATCATAAGAAAAAAGTATATTCATGTACTAAATTGCTAATAATCTTCCCAGATTTAGTACAAAATTATATAAATATTATCGTTAAAATTAATTTAACTTAAGAATTTTTACAAAAATTTGTTTATGATCACATCAAATAATAATTTGCAAATATTATTCGTAAATGTGTGTGTATATATATATAGCATTGATAAATACACATATCTCGATCAGCTTATTTTATAATTAATAAAAGATATAATCTCATAATTATTTATTATAAATAATTATGAAATTATGTCATCAATGCTAATATGCATTTGCGAATAATATTTGCAAGTTATTACAAAATTGATATGATCGTAAATAAATTTTTGTAAAAGTTTTTAAGTTCTTAAATTAAAAATAATTTCTTACATATAATATACGTAGCAATAATATCGATAAAACGTTAATATTATTTTGTGTATTTAGTTAATTATTTCGAAATCTTTACAATATAAATATAACTGTAATATGTAACTCTAATATATACGCAATGAATTAAATTAAAATAAATTAAATTATTGAAAAATTATATTCACTTTTTCTCTGATATTAGGAAAATTTTGGTTATTAACCCGTATATTTAATCTATTTCAATATCGGTATTTAATAAGAGTTTTTAGAATATCGGTATTATAAAAAGTAGACATATATATGATATCGATATATATACATACATGATAGCTAGCAATATTGTGTGTTTTAGTATTCAGTCTCTGCTAAAATGTAACTACCAAAAAGCACTACTACCAAATTTAGTAAAGTATTGTGATGAATGATATATAATATATAAACAGATGGAGTCACAATAGAACATTTTGTTTATGTATAAAAAGTATTTAAATATACGTACATAAGATACACAATATCTTTGATTGTAAATATTAAGATATACAGTATATGTATAACAAGAAAGAATGCTGAAATTTAAAACCGATGTTAATTATAACAAAAAAGAGTCTATAAACAATAAACAAAAAGATTATTTCACTAATAAAAGATTATTTCCTGCAATAAATAAGTATCCACTGAACAAGTAAAAAAAGTAAACGGTGCACTCATGAACGTCGTTAAAAGTCGACTAAGAGCATTTACTGTCTATCGCTTGTATGATATATCTGTGATATCCCTTCCATCGGATATTTATCTACCTCTATGATCCCTCCTTCATAAATCATTAAGATTGTATATGTGCATAAATCATTAGGTTTACAAGTATTAAGCAAATTATAAATTTTGCTGAGTCGTTATTAAATCCATCGTAAAATTCCTGAACTATTTAACATTTCTTAATAATAATCTTAGAAAATATATTCTTAAAATAGAGATAATCGGTTGTTCTACTTTTGCTATATTACTCAATGTATGTTCTATATATTAAAATTTCAAAGCGAAACTTAATTATATAACATTCTTTAATTAATAAATTTTTATAATATTAAAATCTCGTATTAGCGGATTTTAAATTAGAGCATAAAACTTCCACACATGCTACACGCACATATAACGTGAGTGGGGATAATGATAAAATTGCGGTCTCCATTAGGACCTTGAATTTCATGATTTAAAAGTGAAACGAGAATAACCTCGTTATGTAGAAGCTAGTATATCAAGCCACGAATTACTCGAATTATTACGAATTGAAATCTTATTATTATGAGGTTTCAATGTATTTAATTTATGTAGTTTTCACAAATACTGAAATTAAAATTTTGTTTTTGTTCTTCAAAAATGTAATATTGACTAAGATCTCGCTTAGTTTTTATAGATCGTGGCCTGTCATATTCAGAACGCGCTTATTACGTTAGCACATTAACATGCTATAGTTTAAGTTACGCATACTACAGAGTTTCAGAGATAAAAACACGCTTGCATAACATCCTGATCAGAAAAGAAATATTCTCTCGTAATTACATTTATAATAGCAAAGATACGCACAAAAATATCAAAGAAAACTCGTTAATATATACATATATCTACATATACTTAATTTGATATAAAATGTCAGGTTTTTTCTGAGTCCTTACATTCAATAATTTTCTTTTCCGAAAAAAATGATCGGTAAAACATAAAACTTTATTAAATAACTTTTCAAATTTCGTCTACATACAATATTTACTAAATAAATAGTTATATAATCTTGCTATTATAATATATATATTAGTCAAACATCTGCGCAATCACGTTCTACATATAACAATCTCTACAACATTATAAATATGACTAAGTTATTATTATTTCTAGGATTTATTTTTAAGACTAGATTTATTCTAATTTTAAGAAAACTATTTATCTTTTTTAATCTAATAGTTCTTTTATAAAATAGCAAACGAGTGTCACAATTTGTTCTATTTATAATGTCTACCATCTGAAAGAAGTATAGTATAACTATACTATATACATACATACATATATATGTACATTTAAAAGGTGTAATTAACTAGTGTAATTAACGTTGAAATAATTTTTTAGCCATTTCTTTCAAATCTTTCCTTGCAATTTTCCCTGAACCTGTATACGGAAAAACATCTAAAAATATAATTCCAGCACGAAGTTTGTAATGATCCATCATATTTTTAGCCACAAAATCTATTAATTCTTGCTCCGTCTCCTACAGAAACACAATTTAATATCATTATATAACAAACAATATTTTAATAAATGTATTTAAAACGTAATATCTTTTATTCTGTATTAAAATATATATGTATAAATAATGATATTGTTTTGAAATATACTATAATAATGCTTATAACTTTATTTAAATAAAAAAAAAAATAACTTACACGCGTGCGTATTTAAATCTCTAATTAGAATATTTAAAAAATCTTGATAATATATTTAAGAGAATATAAAAATTTTATATTATTTTAAATTATAAAAATATTAAAGAATTATAAAAAAATAAATATTTATAGCTTATTTTTCAAAACACCCCTAACATTATTTATACATTAATTTGTACGTCATTGTTACTATATACAACAGTAAAAAATGTTTTATGTTATATACAACAGTAAAAAGTGTACATTTCCGTTTGCCTTATTTTTAAAACAATATTTTTTAGAATACGTTAAATCGGTTCGCAAATATTCTTATTTTGACTGTATATAGTGTATATATAACTGATACATTTAATTTAGTAAATTCTTATTCTATCACTTTATCGCATTACAATAAAAATAAAGAATTATACCTTAGCGCCGGGCTTTTTGGTAATATATGCAAGAGGATGTTCATCATCTGTTACATGAGGAATCGATATTACTGCAGCTTCTAGCACTGCTGGATGCGATATTAAAACACCCTCGATTTCTCCGGGTGAGATATGATATCCTCTATACTTTATGAGTTCTTTTATCCTATCAATAATGAACAATTCTCCATCTTCATCAATATAACCGATATCACCCGTGTGCAACCATCCTGAAAGAGTTCTAAGTTTATCTTTACAATATTAAATCTTTATGACATTATATATATATATTTTATAATTAATATATATTAGAGTTATGTATTTTTAGATTTTATGGAACAGAATTTATTTGTTTTTATTCGAATTTGTATCCGTTAATTAATCAACTTATAATTAATTCTCTTTAACTATTTGATTTTTATGCTTATTTTATTTTCCAAACATAAGTTTTCAAGTAGAACGAACAATTGATCTCAAAAAATTTTCTATATAACGAAACATTTATTATAGTTTTTATTGCGTCTATTTATTATTGATACTTTGCAAGTGACTCACATGTTATTAAATTAATATTAATTATTTTAATTGTGAATACAAATTAACTCTTTGAAATAGTCATAAAGATAATATTTTCAAAATAAGTAAATGGTTTGCTTGAGAATCAAGAGATAAATTTTATTTTTGTTAATAATTATACATATAGTCTGTTTTTACCTTCTTCATCAATCGTACTTTTCGTCGCTTCGGGATTTCTATAATAACCGGTCATCATGACTGCAGATTTTAGCCATATTTCTCCCGATTGATTTGGGTCAAGTACTTTTCCGCTTTCAGGATCCACAATTTTTATTTGCACATTCTTGACTACTATTCCACAAGATCCATTTTTGTGATTCGGTAATTGACACGTTGCAAGACCACCGACTTCTGTCATTCCTAAAAACACAAGAAATCTGATCAAATTTTTACAACATACATAACATACCTATATTTAAATGTATTAATATTTTATCGCATTATAACGATATTTACCATAACCTTGCAATATCTGAACGTGTGGTAATGTACGTCTCAGTTCTTCCTGCACTTTTGGCTTAATTATTGCACCACCACCTAGTATAACTTTTAAAGATGGTAACGAATATTTCTTTATATAACCTGCTCGAACAAATCGATTTATCATACTCGAACTAAGGAACATGACTGCTACCTGAATAGAATTACGTTTTTAGATTTTAATACTTTCAAATATAATATTATGTAATGTAACAAATATAAGATATAAAAATTATAATTATAATATATATTTCCTTGGAGAAATTTACATTTCTATTTACAATTACTTACATATATCTTAACAATAAAATTAAAATAAACGCACATAATATTACAAACGCGCATTCCTTATATATATACAAATTGACTTCCTCGAAAAATAAATAATTTTTACAGGAAATTTTTAACATTATTATAGTAACAAAAATTTAATATGTAATGAATTATTTTCATTATGAATAAAAAAATATTACAATTTATTTGAAAAAAAATCAATTTTATCATACCATTTGCGAGGAAACTACATTAATCGATATCATTTGTAAAAAAAATTATTTACAGTAAGAAGTCTATATTAGCATCTTAAAATATGGCAGTTATTTAGATCAGAATTTGTTTTTCTATTTGTGTGTTTTTTTAGATTAGAGAATCTTAACAATTAAGAATTATTCTTATATTTATTTTAATTATGCAATTAACAATGTTTTTCAAAAAAATTAAATTTAGATAAGTAATATTACTTTATATTTCTCAATCAATTGGCAGGTCACGTCCTCGTCAAATTCCGAATAGAGGATTACTGTGGCACCCTGCGAAATCGCTTTCACGTTCAGCATTACTCCACTGATCCAATAAAGAGATGAAAACCAAAGTGTTGGCACATTCGACATATCCAGGTTATTATTCTCGGTCATAAGAATCGTAGTGTGGTTAGACAATTCGACACCCTTTGGCATCCCCGTCGTGCCCGACGAATGCATGATGCATGCCGTCTTCTTGACATCGTCAAGCTCAATATAACGGAAATTTGCAGCTTCCGCATTATTGCAATTTCTCAGGATATCGGACAACGAAATCACGCTGGCATGATTGCCGAAAACCACCACCATGGGATTGCAATTTTTCTCTTTCATTGCGCTTAAAATTACATTTACTGATTTCTCGCTGCAGAAAATAACTTTCGGCGTGGTCAGTTGTAAAACGTGCAATGCAGTTGCTAATAACAAATGTTTCGTAATTAATAAAAAAATAAGTATTATGTTAAATATTACTGCAGTATATAATTAGTAAATAATTAAAAAATAATTATGATTGATCGCAAGGTAGATAAAATTTTATTCGCGCACATTGTTATTAGAAATATACTAATTTAATCAAATGTAATATGTAAGAGTGTTTGATACAAATATATTTGATATAATTATAAGGAGATCTTACGTAGGTCCATATCTTCATTCCACGGATTAAAGATTGCGTTGATATAGGCCGCTGCAATACAGGGCACTATTGAGTTGGGTTGATTACTTGTACATACACTAATAACGTCGCCACATTTAATCCCCTGTTTTTGCAGCCACAATGCGCATCTCACAGCTTTATCTTGCAACTCTCCATATGTAAATGTTTCATCAGTGCGTGCATCCAACTGTACAATATAATTGTTATGTAAAATTTTAAAATAAAGAATTAATTATTTAACGAAAATTAACATAGCGGATATCAAAATTTGAAAAATGACCGGGCTTTCGTAAACATTTTTATATAAAAGCCTATCATAACTTTGAATTTGTTAATTTTGACATCGGATTTGTATTCAAGGATCTAAAAAACCTTTAAGTTTAAATAAATATAATTAAAAACTACTTAGTAAAGCGTTAATAATCTAATTCATAACTTCTCCGTGATAGATCTTATATTTAACCATAAATATTTTATTAACCGACTATAATATCCTTGAAGGATAAAAATTACAACAACGTTGCAATAAATCTTCTCCAGTCACGTATCATAATTACAATATGAACGTATGTATCATAGTTATTACTAGATCAGTGCAAAAGCTCGTGCTCAATTTATTATTTAAAATTAATAATAAATTGAGCACAAACTTTTTGCACTGATTTAATATATGAAAACATATGTAAAATATTTTTTTACCATTTTAACTGCAACTTCTCCAAATTGTTACGTAACTGAGTAATTTTTTAAATTGCTCGATACGTCACAATTTTGAATCACCCGTCCGCGCACGCAAGCGGATTCGTATTTAAAAAAACAAGAGATGACTTGTTTTGCTCTGCTGTTAATTTTTTGTCATATAATGTTATTACTACTATAAAGCATATTAATACTATATATTTTAAATTTTAACAACATTTTCAAACATGCTTTTTATTATTCTATAAAACATTTAAATCTTTTTTCTTTTTTAGTCACATATTATAAACTTTAAAAGTTATATTTTTCTTCCTGTAAAACTTTTTATATTAATATTATGTATAAACGTGTTGACTTACATGTGCGATTTTGTCCTCATAATTTGTAATGCTAACCCACATTAATTCTCCAAGACTTTTATACTGAATCGATTGATACGTTTCTTGCCCTTTGTAAACGCCATTTTCCATAGTAAAATTCTATAAACAACATATAGTTAAATTGTTTGTTTTTACTCTTTGTAATTAATCAATACACTAATGAATATTTTTATTTTAATTCTTTAATCAATATGTAATTATTAATTTTCTTATCAATGTTAACTCTCTCTCTTTTAAATACTATTCTTCATTATATAAATCTATAAAGAATTTCAAATATATAGATGAAAATTTACTTTGTATCAAAAAATTTTGACAACGTATTTAAATGCAAAAGACCATTTTTGTATTTACCTTTTTGTCCACAACCATTTTATCAAAATTCAAAAGTATTCGAGTTTTGTAAATAGGAGAAATCCTGATCCACGGTTGATCATGAATATCACTGAGCTTAGATTCAAATCACTGCATCATAAACAAATTCTATTATGGCCATGCACAAAATAAATAGAAATTGGTTTAAAAAATAAAAAAGTAAAAAGAATTATTAAAAAAATTTTATTCTAATTGTTATACATATATCATACATTGTAATAAAACTTTTTAAAAATAAAGAAGAAAGATACTGAAATATTTTGAGTATACGGTTGCCAGTACACATGCTATTAAAATATAAAAAAAAATTGTTACACTTGCTTGCTAAAAAAAATTAATTATTCTACACAATAAATAAAAAAAAATACAGATAGATGCTCGATAGGATAACATATATTTACATGCAAAAAATTAACACAATATTTTCAGTCGCAACTAAGTCAAAGTTATTAGTGCATCCATTTGAACTTGAATAAAAAACAATTGATTACAATAAAAATCAATAAAGCTAATTGCATTTAAAAAAAGATTCCGTATTTGAAAGAATTTGGAAGAACTTTTCCACTATGTAAAGTTTATCCTTTCCGAGGAACTTACAAAATAAGCAAGTACAGAACGAAACACATACGAACATGGATAAAAGTCGACTGTCATTTACCGTCTACCTATTACAGGTCTGACATACACACTATATAGTTCTAGGTATCCCTCTCTTTAAACTGTACAATTGATATGTGCACTGTATGGACTGTACAAATCATAAATTTTGTGGAGCCATTGTTCTTAATACAACGTAATACTGGTTACTTGGCGTTTCTTAATATTACCTTAGCTATGGCATAAGGTTAAATTACTGAAATCAATAACGGAATTGGTCTCTAATGCTTTATATCTTACGTATTTTTCTATTACGCATTTTCTATATATTTTCCATCTTATAATTTAACAAAATTTGATTATACGTCAATTTTTTATCTTACAGGTTTTTATAATATTTAATTTTAATATTCTTCTAACAAATGCTATGAAATTAAAAGTTGATTGGTGTCTGTCAAAAAAAATATAATATACATATATACTTCTAAAACATAATTTTTCAAAATCTTTATAGAGATTTATATAGCTTAGTTTTTTATACCTTAAGAGTAAGCTTAAAGAAGTTATAACATAAAAGGATCTTTCTCTAGATCTCTATAGACCAAATATAATATTAAAGAAATTATATATAATTATTTTGTGTTATCATAGAAAGATAAAATACAGAATATAATCAAAAATATTATTCGTATTTTTAATAGAGAAAATATTTTTGTTTTCTTAATTTTACGATGTTAATGCAATTCTCGGTAGCTATAACCTACAGATACATGCATTACGAAGAGCTATACGGTCATGAATAAAATATAACAGACACTTTACTGACATAAACCGTCCGTAAGATTATTAGTTTGTCAAACAAATTTACTTGATTAATAGATATCTGAAATATTAATATTAAACTTTATTACATCGAATAATATCATTGAAACGTAATAATTAGTTAGACGTTATGTAATTAATTCAAATATATATTATAAACCAAAAGAATTTTTATAGTAAAAAAAGAAACAATTTTTATTTCTCTGTGATATTATTATTTATACACATAGTTTTATTAATTTCGCAGTCTCATATAAAACTTCATAATTTTCCAAGAACACATTCCAACAGAAATGTTACTAAGTCAATGCTATGTATCAAGGCCAATATTATCGTAAATTGCTACTTGTATCTAGTATTAGGTATAAAGTGAAAGAAGGTTTACTATTTGTGAACTTTGAGTTACAGGACAAAGATTTAACTGACCTTAATAGCTTTCATTAATTTATAGATAATCGCAAGATGTCAGAGTGTATCATGTAACAAACTATATATTATCTCAAGAGCAAATGTCTCAATCCTCTACTAACATTTATACTACTTATATAATTTAGAGAAACTATATTTCTCAGATAATTTTTTACCACAATTTGATCACGCAAGCGATATGTTTTATATAATGCGATGATTTGATAAAATTTAAATAGCCATTACTTAAAAAGCATATATTTATAAATAAACTTTATTATATATTTTATTATACATGTAAGAACATAATCCACCAAGGCTCGGCACGAAATGCAATTTTCAGCCGATTTTCGGATCGACTCCGCTGTCCCGCTCACCTCACCACCCCACGCGCAATCCAAATGCCGCTCGATGCTTATAAGAGCCCCAACACACACTTTTGCATAATGCATAAAGCATGTGCATAAGGAATTTCATTGGCCCATTTTCTTATGCATGAGTCAATGGACCAATCAAATTCTTTATGTATATGGTTTATGCGTTATGCAAAAGTCTGTGCTCCCCGCTTAAGAATGTACTAAGACGCTCATAGACGTAAGGAGCATTCGTTAGGTAATGTGTAGGTAGGTGGAGTTGATTCGAAAATCGGCTGAAAGTTGCATTTCTTACCGAACCCTGATCTACATCTAAAAAATTAATTATCAAAAGAAATACAAATACATTTAAGAATTACATAATAAAATGATCGAAATTCTCTCTTTCATAATCTGTTTTTAGGAAGACCGTTTTCAATAATGTCTTAATACTAATATGGTTCTATAACCCTGTTTCTACAATAGAGTTTTAAGCCTTAAGCCATAAGAAATGGGCGAATCATAATCGATTATTCTCCTCGAATTCGACTGTAATTAGTTAATTTCTTAAGGTTTACAAATCAAACATGAATACGTTATAAGACAATTAATTATCTATTAGTCTGACAATGAGTTGTTCTCTTGCAATTTGTTCGTATGTAAGATTTTGTTAAAAAATTGCACGTCGCTACAAAATACTAGTTCTTCAAATTATAGGCTAGCAAGTTTAACAATTCTTTTGTTATTATCTGCGATGTTATCCAATTAATTTGAAAAATTTACATTCCTGACAACTTCGGAAAGAGCTTACGAAAAGTTACGATTAAAACAGTATTTACGAATTACGAGAGGGAGAGAGAGAGAGAGAGAGAGAGAGAGAGAGAGGGAGAGAGAATTCTATATACATATATAATAAAACAATAAATATTCATGCAAAAGTTTATTTCGGATCCAATTACTTATTTAAAGTTGTAATGTATTATAAAATTGCAGATAAAAAAAAATATGGTCATTTTGTTGTATAAAACTATTATAAGCTATATATTATTTGCTATTTTGTTTTTTTTTACAGTTGGTTTTCAAAGCCTATTTACGGACTAATGATAGGTAATATCATTACATTTTTTTAAATGATATTAGCTTGTTTTTGACTGATTGTTTAATTAATACTTTTGACTGATATTATATAGCTAAAACATTCTTAATCTATAGACTTTTGTTTACTTTTTACATAATTTCTATTTCTTTGTACACATTTTGCCTACCGGTCTGAAAGGTTTATTCCCTTGCGATACAACTCCATTCCAGCTGCTCGAAAATACACATTTTATGGATTGCTTCTGTGGTCTCGACATTAGCCTCGCGTCTGGTCTTCCACAAACCAAAAGATATACATATAGTAATGGAAGAGTCAGATGATGACTGTAGGAGGGATAAGGAAGAATTGTCCACATCATCTTTTTTATGTTTTTTTTCAAAGCGAAATGAGCCGAGTATTGTTATATCGCAAGATAATTGTTTTTACAAAAGAGAACGTCACCTTAGTTAGTATTACGAGATCGCGTCAAAGGCAATCCATAAAATAGTGTGTCACTGTTTTCAAAAAGCTGAAACGGAATTCTAAAGCAAGAAAATATTCAAGCTTCTAGAAAAATATGTACAAAGAAACTATTAAACACGAAATTATTATAAAAAACTAAATATAATACAAAGTCTATAAATTACAATAATTTGCTTATATAGTTTTGCAATAACAGTAAATCTTAATTTATAAAAAATACTGATCATTACTTTTAGTATGATTTTTGTACTTTATCGATGAATAATTCAGATTTTATAAAAAAACAATTTTTTTGGACTTACATTTATTGAATTATGGACTCATTTTTTTTACGACATTGTTGACCAATTTTAATTTTGTAACTAATATAAAGAGATAAGGGCAATGAGCTAATAATTTCGTCAAAATCTTTAAATTAATCTAATATATTGCGAAGAATATCACGTAATTATGGCGTTTCGTCCCTTTTGGGGGGAATTTTCAGATAGAGTTGTGTTTCAAGACCGACGATTATTCGGCGCGCAAGTTGGGGAGGTTGGAGGGGAATACATATATTACTTTAAATAAATTGTGAAGAATAATTCTACGTCGACCCACCATCAGAGGTCTATAGATATTCGCAAAATTCTCGCAAGTTCTTTGATACGCGTATATCTCTTTATATAGAATCTCAACTAAATAACTCTCTCAGGTGTTATAAGGTAGGCTTCCACTACAATGCCTTACTGATGAGTCCAGAAGCTGGGACGAAACGCCATAATTACGTGATATTCTTTGCAATATATTAGATTAATTTAAAGATTTTAACGAAATTATTGGCTCATTGCCCTTATCTCTTTATATTAGTTGTTTAATACATATTGAGCCTTATCACAAACATTTTAATTTTGTACATTTGTGCTATTTTGGAGTGCATATCAATCATTCAATTCTGTAGAATCCACCGAATATATCAATCTGTAACCGCTTTTATTTTAAGTATGTAAATCACAAATCTCATGTCTTTTTATGTTATTGAAAATAACTCGATCAAAGTCAAAACGTTTAACCGGTTTATTATAATTGTGATACTATTTTTTATGAGAACTACACTGAAAGAAAAGATTGGCTGCTGCAGCTAATTAAAAATGCTATGCAATTTAACAATCTAATTTAATGCAACAGCCAATCTTTTCTTTCACATTGTATGTATATTTTCAAATTTATTTCCTTTGCAAATTTATAATTTGGTAATGAGGAGTTAAACCGGGAAAACCTTGTTGCTTTTAAAACATCGTAATTTTTATTCCTTTTTTTTTAATTTGCTGATGGCATTTTACAGATAAAAAATATGAAATAAGTCATTTGTGAAAAAAATTTGAGATTTTTTTGTGAAGTTATTTACGCTTGTAAGTTGTAGAAATTCATAAAAGTTTGCTCATGCGAACAGTCAAATTATTATAATTTTACTGTTGAAACCATTAATCGTACGAAAAAAATGTAAGAGATCGATTTTAAAGATCTTAAATTGTTTTATGAATGGGTTATTTTTAATATATTATTTTTATATAAATAAATCTATTTTTCCATTTGTTTATAATTTTATTATAAACAAATGGAAAATTTTTATCATCCACAAATTTCAAAATTTTGTAAAAAATTATCATATTCTAATTATGAAATAACCTTGAAAATTTCAAAATGTGAAATTCGAATAGACTGTATAAGTATTCTATTGTGTGATGCTGCGGTTTTTTCCGCATAAGCGCTCTATACAGAATTGTTAAATTGCTAGTCAATTTATAATTCGTAATATTATTGCGATAGTTTTGTAGAGATAGTTTTGCGCTTTAAGACCGAAAAATTGTTTCGACGCGTAATTTAAAAGATTACCTACGTAATATATAAATTCACACGAAATAATTATTTGTTATATAACAGCTATTAGTTTACAAACGAATAATTTATACGTAAGAAGATTGAGAGGTATGACTTGAGCGGACGTTGATAATACAATTACGACGATTGACGCGAATGTTTCGTGCGGCACGAACGTTGTTTAAAATGCGCTGCAACATTTACTATCATTCTTCTTTTTTCGATACTACAGATTGTATTTTAAATAATTTATTTGATTTGATGTTTACCTTGATATTAGAACGCAATATCATTCCTTTTCGTATTTTCTTCGCTTGCAACTTGGTATCGCTTAACGATGCCAAATTGCAAACAATCGCTTGCTTAACAAGAAAGCATTTTTTCGCGATAATAACGCACTGGAATGTTTCTCTTGTATCTATGTACTGCATTCTGTTGTTTCAAAACAAATGCAAAAATTAAAATTTCGCAAACATTTTAATATTACAAATTTAATATTACAAATGTGCGCTTTAAGAAACATGAATACAGATTTTTATACGGTGTTTATATAATTTGTTGGAATTTTCTTATTTAAAAAGGCGTGGCAGCAACACTATAATGTCGCTGAAACGCACAAGACAAAACAGTGAATTGCTTAGTAATCATGACTTCAGTGTTACTTCACATAATTCCAAGAATACTGTGTAGCTACTCGCTTATTACAATATATTTAACATAATTCTCGCCATGTTGGTATTGATACAAGAATTATACAAATACTGCATAATTAAATCTACATTTATATATTTTTAGAATGTCCAAAGCAAGAAGTCATGGTTTCACTAGTGTTGATCACTACTATCAAAGGTATAGATCGTTACAAACAGTATTATAACATATATTAAATCAGCATGTCACAATCAGAAACATTAAATTGTAAAATGTTAAAAAGACGTTCCAGAAACATTTATGAAAATGTTCATTGAAGTAATATCTCGCAAACGTTGCAATTAAACATTCAGGAACATTAATTCAATATTTTTTCAATATCATATAAACTTCTAAGAATATTAAGATTTCAATCAAAATTAAATGTTTTTTAAATATATTACTTTTATCTTGGAGAGTCCTTGGGTCAGCTTTTAAAAATTATTTCAATAAAACGTGAATAAAAAGTCTTATAACAATGCGCTTTTTATATTATCCAATATAATTTTGCAAAAAAATTATTTCTTTGCGTTCATTTGAAAACGGTACCACATATTATTTCTGAGTGAGTAATTTTTATATTAATTTATTCAATATCGTAGCAATATTAATAATCAACATCAAACATAGATTCAGTTGAAAGAACATTCACACTTTAAAACGCAACATTAAATCATAATGACACTTATAAAATATTACATAAAAACGATAGCCGCAGTGACATTTATAAAATATTGGAAGCCGTCTACAGTGAGCAATAGCAGTAGTGTAAGGCTGTAAGGCTGTAAGGCACATCGGGAGTAAGCTAATTTTCCAGTATAATAGGGCGTACTAAGTCCGTAAGTGAATGACTCAGTAAAATCTATTTCCTATTCTCTTATTGCTTACAGACTTACTCTATGTCTTATTATATTGGAAAACCAACTTATTCTCGACCAATTTGACGTATATCTCTTGCTTGTGTCGAACTATAATGGAAAATGTAAAAATGCATTTTCCGGTCCGATTTTTATAGACTTTTAGATACAATTTTAAAATATTTAATTAAATTTTGTTAATATTGAGTAAAAACGAACAATTTAAGACTCAAAGATAAAAATACAGTTTGTATTATTAGAATTAAAATCAATAAAAAATTCCATCAATCTGAGTTTGATGACACATGATATTTTATTGATTTAATATTCCTTAGACCAGATCTGGTCGGTCGATCACTAGTACTACAACTTGGTTGTAACGAACCTTCTTATTTCTTCGATGAATTAGTTGACTTACTCGTCTTTTAAGTGTTTTTTGTATAAGTCCGATTTGGACACGGGTTTTTTCGAACGATTTGAACAAATTTTACAGTAAACCGCAAAAGTAATCACAAAACTCTTGATATTTTTGAATTCTACACTCTTTAATTATCTTAAATCAATTACCGTTCAAATTTTTAACATCTTTTAAATAATGATTTACAAGGATTTTTTTTTTTAATTTTCGCATGATAGCCAAAAATACATATTTACATCTATTCTATGAACGTTATGACAGAGTACTACCAAACTGCTGTCATATGTTCGGTGTCTTATAAGAACTGTACATTATAAATAGCACGCAAATCTGCTTAACCGTATTTATTTAAATTAAAAAGGTCCGATTTGGAACACGGACCGATTTAGAACATTCTCCTCTAAACTAAAGATATTTTAGTTTCGAATACATTCTTTTAAAACGGTTGAGAACGTATACCTGAATTCAACCGGATGAAAGAAAATATACAATGGAATGATTAATCACATTATATATCTATACTATTCAATTATAAGCATGCAATATGAAAATAAGCGATAACTTTCATGCACAACGCTCTGTGAGAATCCGCTTCGCTTCTTCGGTTTTTTTTTTATCGAACCTTGGAGACAACGTTAACAATTCCATGAATTTTTAACAGCGTTACTTGTTGGACTTACAATTTATTAATATCTTAGTAAACAATCAATTTTTCTTTCATGTTTGATTCAACTTAGAAACGTTACGAAAAATTTTCAAACAGATCTTGATGGATTTTTCATACTACATCTACAAATCAAGAGAATTGCAAATGTATTTTATATAAAATAAAATAAAATTCTGAATTAAAATAAAATAGAAGCTGAGTTATAATATTCTATTGATTGCATTACGATTTAACTTTAGAAAAATTTAACGACTTCTGTCCGTTCACTACTATTATTGTATCATAAGTGTAAAATTGTGATGTCAGAAGCGAGAAAACACGCAATTAAAATTTTTGCAAAATATATTCAAAAAAAATAGAAATATTTATTAATAAAATAACATTTGCAATTGATAGAATAGACTAATAAAGTATACCAAAATATACTAATAAATTATAAAAATTATCTTTTTATTTTGAGAAGGAATTAAATCATACTTATTTAATGCTAATCAATAATATATTATTAATTTAATAATTGTCATAGCTGTAAATTGATTTCATCTTTAGTTACGCATAATTCATTTTTAAATACATAATTATTTATTAATTGACAAAATAGAAAAGGTTTACATATTTTATACGAATCACAGATCTATTAATTTTTTCTTTTATTGAAACATATTTTGAAAGAATTTGTTTATATATATATTCTCGTTTTTTATTTCATAATCTGAGGTAGCAATGGTGAATAACCGGAAGCCTTAATGTTATTAAAAATACAGATTGCAAAATTTTTATAATAGTTTTGTCATTTTTTTAATTAATAGTAGATATTTATGCATAAAAAAGTGACATAAAAAAATAAGTACTTAAAGAAAAAAAGGACAAAATTTACAACTTTCTACGAGAGTTTAAATCATTTCAAAACAATTTATATATCTGATCTTGAAAAATAAATGCATATTAAGTTACCACCTAGTTAAATGACATTTTCGGATCTAAAACTTTTGAGAGAGAGAGAGAGAGAGAGAGAGAGAGAGAGAGAGAGAGAGAGAGAAGATTTTTCATAGATGATCCTATATGTGTATGTTATGAATTAATATTCCATTTACTCGAATTGAAAAAAAAAAACATTTCAAATCTGCTCTTATCATCGTAATCGAAAATTGGTTTTATTATCTTTAAGAGAAATTATCCTTTTTCGCTATATTATACAGAACCCAATCTTAAAACATGACCTTGCAGTAAAAAATAGCTCAATAATTTATGTTTTATAAAACTTTCCTTATAAATATTGCGTAATTGTTTCTATGTTATTTCAAAACTCATTTACTTTAAAGATAATTGCATCAATTTTCACAGAGAAACAATGAGAGATTTGCAAGATTGATTGACGTGGAAACACATGGTACATGAATAGACAATTCGTTGTGCCACATGTTTATTAATATCTTTCTCTTCCATCAACTGCAGTTAACAAGGCATCTTACACGCTGTTATTAAATATATAAGGAAAGAAGACATTTATAACGTACTTTTTAATATAAATTTCCCTGAGTGGGTTTTGTACTTTGGTAATACAAGGCGTGATAATATTATTGCATCGCTCATATTGTCCATTGATAACACCGTCTTATCAATAATAAATATTTCTTTCGTTACAACTTCCATTATTAATACTGCTTATTGTTAGATATACACTACTTACGTAGAGATGGGAAACCATTTCAATCTCGATTGAAAAAGATGTGAATTTTTCTATGAGAAACATTATAAAACGTCTTTTTATCAATACAGTTAATTTCAAATAAATTAACCGTGTATGAATAATATAATGTACATATATTAATAGGATTTGGGAATTTACAAAGGAACTTTGCCGGGCCTTCAAATAGTGTGGAAAAATTAATTATATCAGTTAATATAGGGTATCGAAATTGTACATAGTCGATGATTCATTTTTTAAGATACTGTGTTTGCAGTTCATTATGTTTCGTATCATATAAGCGTTACTACGAATATAAAAAGTTTAACAATAAAGTAAGACTACAATATAATATACTATTGGCTTTTTGTCTACATACTGTTTCTTAAAAATATTGATTTCTGTAGAGAGTTAGTTTCACCTATATTAATTTAACCGATCTCTTTTATCTCTCTCTTTTTCTTTAGATCTATAACACAGACCACAGATATATAGAAAAAAGAAATTTTAAGCATAATAATACATACAATGACGTTCAGTAATGTTGGTGAAACTAACCCTTGAAGCATATACAATATAAATAAATATAACGTATAGTTACGCCGCTGTTCAATGTTGAAATTACAAACAAAGCCATTTAAGCAATGTATGTTATCACGAATACTTTTTTTTTTAACTAAAAGATAATACAATTTCTTTTTATTCGAGACATGCAGATTTTTTGCAGTAACATGCAGTACATACAATTTTATCTTTTTTTTAGAATTATTACTTAATTTAGTTATATAAATTGCGATCATATAAATCTTAATTTATTCATTTTCAATGTTAATTAATTAATTGTTTTTTAAAACAAGATTTCTGCTCTTTAGTAAATTTAATGGTAATTAGCAAATGAATATTATTTCCTATTATAATTCATGATGATCGTTTCAATCAGATATACTACAATCGACTAGTCTCATTACTTAACAATGTTCTATTTGTGGGGCATTAAAACAAAAAAAAGTATCTACAATTTGCTAATTATAATAAATCTTTCAATGTAAAAAAATAATGAGCACGTAATCGAGAATGTAGAGTATTTTGTTTATCTACATCGCTGCTGCAAGATCTGCATATAATTACGGAAGGGATTAATGCATTTTTATTTACATTTTCGTTTTACGACATATAGATTATTTTACTGTACATTGTTGTACTTCAATTCATTCCAATACAACACTTTATTCGAGAAACCATCAGAAAACATCTTTAAGATGTAGAATGTTCTCGAAACGTCTTTAGATCGTTCTTTGAAGGTTTGTGCTACAGAGACGTGCAAAGGGAGTTGGTCGCCCACGTAAAAATAGTTTTACCGTCCTAGAAATGTGTGTATATAATATTATTTATATGTAGGAATTGACTGAAAGAGAGGAGATAAGAAAGAATTTATGTTAGATATAGATCGTGTTTTATCTTTTTAATTCTAAGAACCCGAAAAAGCTAAAAAGTAAAATCCTAAATACAACTGAAAATCACAGATAATAACAACAAAAAATAACAGATTTTAACCTATCGAAACATTTCTATTGCCTATGTTTCTTAATTGTGTCTATTAGCAAGTTTGATTACATTAGTTCTCACTGGTGCATATTAAATTTGTCATATATTGATTTAAATGTAAAAGCAAAATGTAAGTTGAATTATAAAATATGCATATATTTTATCAAATAACATAAAGTGTATATTAAGGATTTTACATTTTAATCGGTATTTATATTAAACACACATTTTTACTTTATGTACGACGGCTGTATATACTGTATACTGAATACTCAGTGCGTCCAACCAAATTTGCTTTATTCGACTGAAGCTAAGGTATAAGTTAAATCAAAGTTCTCTATACAATTAGTTAATAGAAATTAACAATAGAGGAAGACAATTTTAATCAAGGCACTGTCAATAATCAGAAAGTTGCAATTTCATTTCATTTGTAGTTCAAGTACGGTTCAATGAATCTCGGCTTTGGTCACTTCTGGTTTTATTGGTTGTCTGTATGTTATATGTATAAATGTTGCACGTCTCTGCTGTACTATATGAATTGAAGAGGTAAAAACCATAATGTTGTAGGTCACTTTCTAGTCTACTAAAACGATTAAAAGGAAAAGTGAAATAGATCATAATTTAATAATTAACATTCAATTCGTTCTCTTTACAAATTTTTAACTATGGAATTTGTTAGATCAAATCTACTAAAAACTTTTGTTTCTCTCACAAAGTTATAATTAAGTGACTTATCACTATGGCTTTCATTTTTTCTATTAAAATCCAAATTAGCCTGCGTGAATTCATTAAACGCGTAAGTAAAGTACAAGCCAAACAGCGCAAACTCAAATGACTTGCGTTGTCTGACTAGTTCTTATTAACAATCACCGGTATGTACACTGGTGTACACTATGTTACATCTTATTACATCTATTGATATATCACACATAAATTATTATCGTCACGTTAAAATGGCTAAAGTTGACTGTGAGTGAAACGTGGCCGAAACATCTACGAGCATACAGAATTTTGAAGTGCGCGAACTTTACTATCCGCGCGCGGAAATACCGTAGGTGTCATGGTCCATTAAACTCGCGCGCGTACGCGTTTACGAGAGATAAATTAAGAATAATTTGTACAGAGAGTGTTTGAAGCGCATTTAATTTAATTACTGAACGACTTGACGATCGACGTTATGCTCTCATATGTTCCAGTGACGAAACCTAACACGCCGATCAGAATTATGATGGCATCCTTCGTGATTGTAAAGAAACTAAAATTAGTGTTGTGCCAACAGACGATCATCTCAATGAGTGGTGGAAACACGAGAGCCAAGGCGGTACTACTAACCGCACCAACCAGCGATATGAAGAGACCCAATTCTGGTATTGCTTCTGCCAGGACAACTGAAGAAACGATCAATTTTAGATCATAATGTACATAAACAAGCTACAAGCTATTTAATTTACATCTCAAATAATATTGATAAATGTATAATTTTAAACATAACTTTAGATAAACAAAAATATTTTTTATTCTGTACATTTACAATGAAATAAAAATAAAATTACAAGTTTGATATAAAGATAATACTCGTTATAAGTTTGTGATTTAAATAATATAGTTTAATAAAATACTTTACTTACATGTAATAAAACACATGACGGAACGGAAAAGGATTTCCATGAACACAGGCCATCTGAATGGACCAAATCTGTCAACGATGCCAGGCCACATTATCGCTATCGGAACGTAAAACTGCAACGCGTAGGTAAGTAATATGCTCAAAGAGATGGCGACCTTGATGCATTGCGGCAAACTGTAGAGAAATTCAGTTTGTTAGTCGAGGAAAGACTATATATTTCTTAACGAATAAAAATTAAAAAATCGATACGCGATTCAAACTTTATGATTAATAGTCAAAACATGCACAAAGCACACACATTATTTATGTTAAATTCTCGCGAAATCATGAAGCTATTAATATCTTGACTCTAATATTTATCACAGAACACAGCAAACGTTTAGGTATAAACCTTAATTGATTGTAGATGACTTTTCCGTCCATCCTTTGAATACAGAAAAGAAAATATAATATAATCGATCAACGATAAAACCGACACAAAATAAATCATAAGAATGGTTACACGAAATATAATTGGCTTACTTACATTTCTTGTGGTGCAAGATTGAGTGTGACTGAACCGGCGACATCATCACCGTATTTTAAATAAGACAGAAAACCCATTGTAACGAACATAACGCCTACTATCACCATACCGACATTGAGAACACCAAATGGTTTATTAAAATTAGTAGGTTTCTTCATTTCATTCTTTAATGGCAGTACCTGTACATTGTCAGAATGTAGAAAGTACGTTATTAACACAGAAAGTACAATGTCGATTCTTATAACTGGCAGAAAAGACAATTACTGAAATATTTAAAAATATAGCTTTATTAGATTATTAAAATAATTGTGTAACACATTTAAACTATAATTGTTGGAATATGTTAAAACTTTATGTGATATTACTCGTCGCGCTTGGGTTTACAACATATTATAATTACATATTTTGATGGTCCAGCAAAATTAATTTTCTGTCTAGCTAAATTTTGAGATACTTCAGTAAAATCATTTTCTTCCTTGTACTCTTATCTGTAAGCAACATTAACAAGAGGTATTTTACTCACTAATGTAATACCCTCGAAAGAATATATCACAGTGCCGAAGAACAGAGGTAGATTGTTCCAATCCGCGACGAATCTTCTCTCCTGGATAGATGGCACGTCGTAGCTCATGATGTATACGGTGGCAATGTAACCAGCGATCATTAGAAAATTCGCTATCGAGGTTACAGGTACCAGATACTTGAGATTTCTAATCCAAGTACTAAGCATTATGGGAATCAATACTACAGCCATATGCTCATGAACGTCCATCTCAATTCCGTGAGCATCCAGTACCTATCGCGTAAAATACAACAAATTGTAACATTTATTAAAAATTGTTATTTACTACTAAATATAAAGATTAGAATAAAAGTATAGTCTTCTGTGTTTCCTAATAGATTATTATTTATTGTATGCGGTAAAGATAATGTTATCTGCGTAAGCAATTCTTAGACAATCTCATATTTTTTGCAACAGAAAAAACGAACAAAACATTAAAATTAAGAAGAGTTTAGATGGAGTCAATGGAAGATGCCTTACCTGTTTCATGTTTGTGGAAATGAAAACGAAATAAACGCAGCAGAATCCGAATTGCGTGACACACAAAAATACATTAACCAATTTTCTGCAACAAAATTACGAAAGAGCAACATAAACAACATGCGCTTTTGACAAAAGACCAATAAAAAGAAATTATAGAAAATAATTAGAAAACGGTGTTATATAAAAGAGTGTGTAAAGGGTAAACTGAAAAGAAGGTGCAAGTAGCATCCAGATAAAAAATCCAGATGAAAAAAATTTGAAAATTATATATAAGTAAAAACGAAAACGTAACATTTGCGTGAGCTCGTGTTTCTTGTTATTTCGTTTTCTGAGTGTCAATTGTATATCTTAAAACAAGATGAAAATTATAAAAATAAGCAAATTTTTACTAGAATATTTATAATTTTATTAGTCAACCAATAGTGATTTTTTGCTTACTTTTATAATTTGTATCTCGTTCCAAGATACGCAATTGATTCCCTGACTTCGCTATTTTGTCTATCACGCACCTTATAAAAATCGAATATTTACGAAATCTAATAGGACCAGTAGCAAAGCACATCTCCATAGTTCCGGCGAATCCAATTGTATTAGAATCATGACCAACACGACGTGTCACCTCTTCGTTGCATTTAATCTGAAAAAATATTAAGTATTATGTAAATATCATAATAGTAAATATCAAAAATATGTCTCTGCAGACTGAGAAGTATTTATAAAAGATATTAACTTATATTTAACTTTACTCTTATAACAGAATCATATATTATTTCCTTTATTTTATTTATATAATTAATTATTATTATTAATTAATCGTACGAGAATGTGTTGAGCGTGCACACAAATGATACCAAGGAAGATTGTCAGCGGTGGTGCCAGCATCAATCCAGCGTTCTTAAAAGCATCTCCCAACGCAAAGATCCCTGAACCGACATTACCCCTGAATAGATGCATCATAGTTTCCAGGTACCTGCAGTTATTCAATTTCATTTTGTTAGTGTGTCTGATTTATTCTCAATTCTATGCAATGTGTTATGTGAATCAAGACGGATTATCGGACATAAGCGAAATTCCAATCGTTATAAAAACGATAGCTATAAATGAGAAAAACTGAATTAGTATATTCTAAAATATACTAATTGTAAGAAGGAAACATATAAGGCATAATTTGCGAAAATCTTTGAATTTTGCCAGTCATCGATTTCGTCAATTTGACTCACTTAAATTAGTTGAATTCATCATTTTATATTACTCAGACTGGATTTTCCATGGCAAGTTCTCATCGGTTTTCATTGGTTTAGATTGGATTGTTCCACCTTTCGGTAAACTTCAGCTCACTGTCTTACTTTCTTACTCTCTTACTCTTTTACTCTTTTATTTATCCAGTAGGTAAATTATCACATAGTTTATTCGAAGATGGAATAACCGGCCCTTAATTATGTGAATCGAGATTTCACCATATAATTACCTTTCGGTTTAAATATAAAAATAAATATTTAAAAAAATTACTTTCCAAAAATATAATAATTGTAATTTATGATTAATTAATCGATTCTCATGATTTATCAATATTTTTTCATAATATATTAATAAATACGAATAATTTTATCTGTAATTATACATATACGTATAATTATCAAATAATCATACGCATATAATTTTTATAAAACTTTTTATTATCGAAACAATATTTAAAAATACCTATAATTAAAATTGATCTTTGAATATACTTTATATAAATATCTATAAATTTAAGAAATATTTTGGAACCAAAAAGTTTGACAATTCGCAATCCTTAGTAACAGTAAAATGATAATTATAAGCTAAATCCTGTTATTGTTATAAACTGATGCACATTTACGTGTGTGCCAAAAATTTATTTTGGACTCTCGTCCGTCAATTCTTTAAGGTACGAAAAGACGAATTTTCTCTTACTATTCGACCGTACCAATGCATCTACCTGTAAACGTATTTTGCACAGCTGAGAATGCTAGAAAATTGTAACAAGTCAATGTCAAAACAAAGTCACATTCCAACAAAACATGATTCTTCCCGGAAAAAAGTAATTGCCATTCGCACGGAAGTACGGTGAATTAGGTATTTTATCGGGTTATCATAAACGAGTAACAAGATAATAAAATACTCGCTTCCGTCTTTTCAAATTGCATACTTTGCAATCACATATCATTTTTTTCGCCGTATCTAATCATGTTGCAATATTTGTTTGTTTCTCTGGATATATTTACTGTTAAGGTGTGTAATACCATTTTCATCGTTCGTGCATGACATACACTAAATAATCTTCTGCTTTTATTAACGATCTTTATCATTATCTAATACGCTTTGTGCTATAAATCTATTTGTGTGGTTAGTAAAATGATGTTATTTTATATTAACGCAAATCAAACTCACGAGGTGGGATGGTTCACAGAGATACCATGCTCATCATTTCCATGTTTTGTGGTATCACTGCTCTTTTCTATCGCCAGAATGGGATCTTTCGATTGGAATGCTCCATAGGTTCCACTATTTCTGTAATAAAAAAGAAATTAGTAAAAATGGGAGGTTATATGTGTTATAATATAATAAACTGCAAATCACGGATGACGTCAAGATGAAGGAAGTAGTTGCAATTACAATTGTTGCTGTGTATGTGTGTGTTGTGTGTGTACATCTATGACCTTGATATTTCATAAGATTTTCCTTATACAATGATATTAATTATCAGATATATGCAGGATGAATATTGCAATTTTCAAGCAAGGTGATTAAATGTTTACAATTAACGTTAATAACATCATGAGAGTGACATAGATGGAAAAATGCATAGCGGGGAGGCATTTTGTTAATGGGTTCAATAGACATGATCGTGCCAATGGAACAATACGACATTCTTGGCAACGATCTGATACCTGAAATAGCTCATCTATAAATCTCAGGCGGAGATTTGTCTCGACATTTATTGATTGTTTCCGTATTGTTCTTATTTTAATGGGCTATAAATTATTATGACTTGAACTAATACTTATTTTATTGCAATTTTTATACAAATATTTATAAAAATTAAATTAGATAAGAGAAATAATCAGTGATAATTAAGAGATACTGGTAACAATTGATCATCCATGTGCAATAGTTATGACGTAAAAACAAAATTTTTTAATCCGCTTATCACAAATCGCATAACACCAATTAATAATAACGTTTAACGACCGTCCATGTAATTATGCAACTCAACGAGTAATTAAATTAGATCGAACGAAGTAATTAAATCACGTTCATCATGTGGTACGTTTAATCGGAATTAGCGCAGTGTTGCACATTTGTGATTGTATACTAATCTTCGTGCAATTATTATCCATCACAGCGTGTCATGAAAATATTATTTGTCACAGTATCTTTTTTTAATATATTAATTAACTATTCGATTATTAGTAAACGCTTCTCCTTGAACGAAGCTCATTAATCAAATGTGATAAAGTATCTTCAGTAAAATAAACTTATGATGATCGGATATTAAGATAAAAAAAATATTAATAGATTGTATATTAGAGAGAGAGTAAGATAGAGAGAGAGAGAGAGAGAGAGAGAGAGAGAGAGAGAGAGAGAGAGAGAGAGAGAAACTCTATTACATTTCCAATTGTTTACGTTAAGATAAACTTACCCAAGTGGCTGCTTGAAAGTTGTTTCATCGCCGTGAATAGAGTTCTTCTTTGGCGTAATCACGGAAATTGGACTGCTGTTCATTTCCATCTGTAAGATAATTAGAGATATAAAATAGTGAAAACACATTTTCGATTATGTTCCGAAGCATACACAGTATAATGTATGTATAATACCTTGTTATGTATGTACATGTTATTTATTATAAAATATATATTTCATATATATAATATTATATATATTGTGTATTATATATTGTACATATATTATATGTTTATATACATATAGAGTAACATATACTTTAAGGAACATTAAAATACATATACATATATAGCATACAGTGCGCTTCAAGAATCTATTCTCGCGCGGGACTCTACTCGCAAGTCCAAAACTTCAAACTCGTAACAAACACGTCAGAGATACGTCAAAAGTCCTTTGTTCAACAGTCTAGACGTGTTACGACAACATGGTGAATGAAACGCGTATGTATATATGCAATCAATCAGACGCCAAAACTTGGGCTGTCATCGGCATTAAGCGTTGGCTCGAATATATGTATTTCTACTCGAGTTACATTCTTTTGCCGTGTATTAATTTTTTTCTCACTAAAAACTTAACTGGGATAAATTGAGATAGATCAAAGATGATTTCTTCGGTATTATTCCGTTATTATCAACGTATTGTTGATCGTCAATTGAACGCGCCTTGCACGTATATTGATTAGCTTTTTAATTAATCCACATAGCGTGCACAGCATTTAATACTACGTCAGAGATCAATACAATGTTGAAACATTGACTGAGAAAAAAGAAAAAAACAATATATATATATATATATATTATATATATATATATATATATAGAGAGAGAGAGAGAGAGAGGAAAAACACTCACTTGAGAACATGTGTGATAAATCTAGCTTGCCAACAATTATGACGATATAGGTATATGATATATGTATAAGCCGTTAGTTTTTTTTTTAGTTAATCGCTTAATGAGGTAACTGAAATACATTAGATATAAATAGATTGATCATCTTCATAATCAACATTCTAAATTTCTTGCATAATTACAAATTGTCACTCTTTTTCAAGAAATTTTCATTTTTCTCTCAAGGGTGATTGTATTTTCACTTTCCTGGAGTGAGATATCATTGCAAGAAATTTAAAGTGCATTGTTATTTAATCGCAATGTTTTGCTCGTAAATCATATATACAACTAAAAATAAACAATGTAATCTGTTTGTAATAAATTCTTCGGATAATTTGTCTCTGATGTAAGATTAAGTAAGTATACATCTCCCAGTAAACATCTACTAAAAGTAATATAACAATGTTATAATTTCACGCTGAAAAGTATGAATGATGTAACACATATTGTATGTGATAGTAAAATTATAATATATATGTTACTTTTAATTGATTTATTAAGTTTATCATCAATCATTGAGCTACAAATTGAATGCTAATTTTCCACTTTCCTTTATCAATAAAATATAATAGAAATAAAAATAGAATTTCCAAGAAAGATAAAAGATTGATCAATGATATCTATATTTAGCTTAGTTTTTATTATATATTAAATACGATGAACGGATGGTGTTTTTTCAATGAAGGGAACTTTGTAGCGTAAAAAAGTATGATCATTCAGTATCATCAAGTGGCATTTCTTCAGACGAAATAAAAAGGGATGACCTTATATATTAATTATCATGTAAAACGCGCTCGTAATCATTCCCTGCTCCACTTACCTTTAATAACATAAATGATCTTAATCGAGATATCCTTCAGGTTACAACCCGAGAAGCTATTATATACTTAGTGTAGTAAACTCAACGTGGCGTCCAACACCACGTGAAAGCGCCGAATTGTCACCCGGCGCAAGTGGAACAACACGAGATATTTACAGCATATTGCTAGTGTAAGATGATAGCTTAGCCGATGTCCGGTATATCTTTATATGTGTAATAATATAAAACTGTAACTTTACTAACATATTTTTCAGTCAACAATAATGTAGATGGATAATTGCAATATAACCACGCGATTATTTTACATGGCTAATGTAAAAGAATAGATAACGCCAAAAATAGATACACGTAGAGAATTGTAAACGTTATCAATGTTTTTTTGCTTGCAAAACAAAAAAAAACACTTATACCCGTTTATTCTGACTATATTCCATACAACATATAGTAATAATCTGCTTAAAGTATTTATGCATCTGTTTAAAATATCTAATTAATTCTTCATCTATTTCTAGTTCTAAATAAAAAAATTAGAAAAAGATAAAGTAAGTTAAACCGAAAGTTAAAATTAACTTACATTGGAAATGTGAGTATTATAGTCATGATGGAATGTAACGCAGTCTGTAAAACATTTTTTTGAATAAAAATGTATGAATTTAATGTGAGTAAAATGTACGAATTAAACGTAGGAGGAGATATGTAATTGTCTGTGCTAACTAATATTCTCGCAAATGCAATGTGTTATACCTACTACAATAGATCACAGATTATGATCCTTAACCGGATCCAAATAACATACATCCAAATAATATACACAGAAATACGATAGATGTTTGCTCATATTTGCAGATATTTTCAACAGATGCATAACTACGTTAAATGTTTTCCACTATTTCCGAGCTTAGAGGTGTGGAATATTATACTCACAATCAGAATGAAATTCAAACCCAAGGCATAAATAAGAGACAATTAAGTTAATGCAGACTCGAATTTACACTACAAATATTTGATTAGAACTCAGTAAAGATAAAATATAATCGTATGCAAAGTTAAACCTTTATATTATTTATATTTCTATATTATTTGATTTATTTACATTTAATACGTAATAATTATATGTTTTATGTTTATATACAATAAATGCATATCTATCCTATATCTCTATAATATTTACATATCACGTTTTTTATTTTATATTTTCCCTCAAAATATAATATATCATATTGAATTATCAATACTATATTTCGCGTATTCGTAATAGATACATGATTCATTGGAGTGATATAATTTATCATTCTCACTAAACGATTGTAACACATGGTCAAATGAACTTTACAATTTAGCAGCAGGGGCAACAAATATGGCAATACGATATCACTAGAAGTTAACAGTCCGTTTAATCTCTTTTAAAACTCTTAGAAATATATGACAGTGGCAAATTCAATTCATTGATATATTACATACTAAGATCATTACTGTTAATTTGTTGCTTTTCTAAACATTACTTTCGTTTGCTTAAACGCTTATGTGAAAATAAATGCAACTGTGATGAGCAAAATTGTGCACATATTAAATAAATAATCACAGTACTTTACTTTAGTTATCTTAAAGACTTTGTTCTGAAAAAGAAAACAAAAAATATTGCGTAAAATTCTTAAAATTAATTATTTTACATTTATATATCTCATATATAAAAGTATAAATAATATATAAAATTTAACTCTACATATACATACTATTAAAAAACTATCTATAATTATAAAAATAGAATTTTTATCTCATTTACTTATTTAAAGATTGTAATTTATAATAACTTTTTTTTAAATAAACATTGAGAATTTAAATGATTAACACCCCGTTTACAATTTGGATCTTTTTTAGCATAAGCGAAATTTGATTCGCAAATTTCCTTAAAATCAAGAAGCGAAGAATTCCTCCTCCTAAAATATTTTATTTTTCTATTTAATAATGTAATATAAATATTGAATAATAACTGAATTTTTCTATATTAAAAAAAATATTTTTACAATATAAATATATATGTATATATTAATATATATATACACTGTAAAAAATCAAATATTAATTTTAACTTAAAGATGTTGAGTGGATTTTCTGAAACATGCAAGAATGTTGAAATTAACATTTTTGTGTTAATTTTAACATTTTTGCATGTACCTTAAATCCATGGTACTCAACGTCTTTAGATAAAACTTAACATTTTGTTTTTTACAGTATAAAGTATGTATATTTAACAGTAAAAAAATTAGACTAGACGAAAAGAATCTAGATTGTCGACGGAGAGAGTAAAAATATGATTGCAGAAATAAGATTAAATTATATCTACATTGAGATAAGCCCGCATTATAATTTCATTTCCAAATCTTTTTAATTAAAATTTGATTAGATGAATTCGATTGAAAATTTTCACACACAAATAATCAATCAAAATTTAAATTTGTTACGAAGATACGTATTAAATAAACTAAATAAATACATTTTTACTGAGAGATGTTGTGTGACAAGAAAACGAAATGATTAAATCAGTAATATAACAGAGCACACGTCTTTATTATAATGATACAGTGAAAGAAGATGATATGTCATTCGTCGAAAATTTGTATTCTACCTTTTCATTGTAAGCTAATCACACGACCGTACGACAAATACTATAACAACGTACTTATTCAATCCAGTTAGTCAACTTAATGTAATCACCATAACTGCTGTCGTAATTTGTCAAAGGTCTTTTTTCGGGCCACACGAGATTGTTTCGATTGGAGAGAGATGGAATAGCGTTGTGAGGACATTTAATTAATCAAATATTTGTATATTTCATAATCCACGTAACGAGATAATTACGTCAGAATCACCCACGGTATAGATTCACATCAATTGTAGATAGGACTCACGATTACGTTTGCAATTTTACGATCCCACGGTAGACGGCACGAGCAATCGTTAAACTTTTCGGTCGACCTAAATCACTGATGCACGTGTCTTACTCGTGAAAACTGCAGCTTGATCTGCTCTGACCGACGCGAATTCACTTTTTGGCAATGTTACCGCTGCCAGCGACGATATCACCGAAATAGAAACGTTCACCAGCGCTCTTTTGGTTCTTGATTACGTGCATCTTTTATCAAACACAAGCCGCGATTGCGTCAAAATGCTAATAAACATTCGATATTCTACTTTTGTAAAGTTTTTGAAAGAAAAGCTCATAGAATGATTTTTGCACTTTCCGAATGATATCGGCGATCGCAAGACTTTATCGGATATCGCTATAAATTATGATTATGACATTTGAGTCGCGATTAAAATGCGATCTGTTTAAACTGTCAAGTGTGATTAGATTATTATTTAGAACGGCTGATAAAGACGTATTGCACGAGGAATTGATGCATCGCTCTTTCGGAGAATCTTTAAGAATAAAACAGTTTTCGGAAGATAAACATCTCTAAAATTAAATTGAAGTGTCCCCGATAACTTAGAAGAATAGAGATGACTTAAGACGAGAAGCTTACAGGAAGTAATTATCTTTAATCCTCTAGAACTGACGGTGAGTCTATTAGACTCACTCAATTATATTCTTTATATTACATTTGCAAATTTGAATTATTATTATTAAAACAAACTATTCTCATTCTTTTTTTATATGAATTATATCATTTTGATTCCTTGAAATTAATTAGTGCCTTCCAATCAAAATAAAATAAATGTTACAAATTTAACATCAGTAACTATGTTACAGATTTTGGCGATTTCCGCTTTAAAGAGTTAGTTATAATTATATACATATATATGTGTGTTTTAAATATGGAACGATAGATATTAATTATAGTTTTAATATCTAGTATTTCAGAGTTAGTGCATGAATTCCAGATATGGTATATATGTATATGCATATATGTATATTATATGTACATAAATGTGTACAATTATCGCTCTCGGCAATTCGCAACAATATGAAACCGCAATCAGTACGGAATGTCACCATACGATAAGTCGACATCATTTTACGATAATTCATACGTACAAGTATATTCCTTGCCTATCTTTATGAAAAATTCGATCGCGTAACGCAAGAAATAAAGCGTACTTTCACTCGCACTTCTAGTTGAAGTAGGTGAAGGTATCATTCAATTATGTAACATGTATAATATATAATATACAATGATATCATGAAAAATTACAAAAACATTCAGTAAAAATTATTTCCGCTGTTCGCGATTTTCATTACTTCCTGTAAATTTAATGCATAACCGCAATTCATTGCAATCGCTATTTTAAATTGTTGCACTTGATATCCTTGAAATGCGTTACTGGGATAAATGTTCTCTTTTCTGTAGACGTATAAACATTTATAAAGGTGCAGTGAAGCATATTACATGATGCAATATATAATTGCATCATGTGATGTGCATATCCTAGATAACATACAGGTGCAATTTTTAAAAAAACATTTGATAGTACAAATTGCTGTCACGTGAATTTTTGCTATATTAGTACAAATGAGCTTTGCAAAAGTAAATTGTTTAACTTCAGGAAACAAAGAGTAGAGATTTGTTCAGTTATGCACGTGCCGGTATTTAAAATTACGAAATAAACTGAAAGTGCAATTGATCAATTTGGCTTCTAAGAAATTCGTATCTTTATTTATACGTAAAACACATATTGCAACATCACGTTGCGTTTTATACCGATCGAATCGTATGTGTAAATATTTCGGCGCTAAGCTTAGTGCGTCATTAAATGCAATTTTGGCACTTGCAAGAAAATTGATGTATCGCGCGCTTAACGCAACAAAAACAATGCGGTGTCCATGAAAAAGTTTCAAATCTAAATGAATGTATTTGCAGTTAAAGTCAACTGCCTAAGTAAAACTTATCTGTATAAGAAATGACATGAAGAATATTGTCGTATTTCGATACGAACGTAAATGTTCGAAAATATTACGAAGATATTTCCAGGTGATGACCGAAATGACGATGTCCATGACTGAAATAAATTTTATTTGGCTGTTAAAAAAGAAAAGTCAAGTATACGTCGATGATATTAAGAATAACGCAAAATAAAGTAAATGCAAGTAACCATTCATAATAAAATTCATACAATCTGACAAAGTTTATAAACACAAAAAAAGGTATCCAATCTTCAAAACAATGAATCCTTATTGTTATATAATGCAATTTCACAAATTTTCGAGATAACATGTAATTCAAGTTTAATCTTTTATCATCTGGAGTGTACAGACGCTGTAGATAATAAAGCTTGACTAATTAGTTCAATTATCAAATGATAACGTTTAAAACTTTAATCTTCTTCATTCTTGCATATTTATACACAATACTTGTTATAGATGAGCTAGCAAAAAGGATCGAAAATTTTAAAAGCATGCAGTACTCACAATCAGAAGAATTGATAAAAATGTCTAGTAGATCGCTGTAAATCACTTAAATCCGCGCGAATTAATTTATTTATTTCAAATTGGATTTTTATTTTAATTTGTACGAAAAATATTTTGTATATGTCTATCTTTCAACTTCATACTTTTGCAACAAGATAAAAATGATGTATACTTAAGAAATTTCTCAACTTTCTATTTTATTAAACAAAATATATATTGCTTTATTTCCATAAGGCTGTCAGGAAAATTATTAATTATGATATCATTCCTAACAAATGAAGCAATTTTTTTGCAACAAATTAAACAGTACTTAGTCCATTAATTTTTACAGTTGCGATAAATAAATTTCACACAACTTTGTATGACGTGTCGCTATATCGTATCTTTTACACGTGTTGAACGTTTTACACGCGCGTCGTATCTTTTCTACGTATCGTTTTCTTTTGCCTTATGATAACATTTTCTTAAATGATTGGAAACTTTTGTTTTTGTTTCGTTATGATAGCAAATAAACAATATTAATCTCATGAACAATAATAGGGTAATATATAAACACATCTTCATATCAGCCTATTTTTTCAATCAAGAATTTTGTTTGTGCAATAATTAGTATACCTAAATTAAAATTTTATGTCAATATTTATTCACATTATTTAAATTTCAAAAATAAATTATTTTCGTTGGTTTCAAGAAAACAAGTGCGCGTGAGAAGAGATTATTTGCTATTCAAAATCGTGCGACGGTAAATAAAGTCCGTAGCACACCAAAGATTAGAGAAGGTCAACAACAAATCAATGAATTGATTCGTCAAGAATTAATATGTTAAAATCTAATGATAAGTGGCATAAGTACGTACCTTTTTTACAGTTGATTTGGCTGTTTGTTTCGATTATATCCAAATAATAAAAGGACACGAATGCTGATAACCCATGGATGGTGCCGTCAATCGACGCACGTTTAACGATCGGCTGCTTACACGCGACTGAAACGATGACGGTCTGAAACCGTCGAGGAATACTCGGCGCAACAACCACTCGAAGGCTATCTACGTCCTTCTGACTATTCGCTTGCTGCTGTTGGTGCCGAAATGCCGTGTCCCTTTATTCTTGGCATCGGGCTTGTTGCAGTCCGAGGCAGAGATCGTGTCGATTTCATCATCGAGTACACGGACCGAAAATCGTCTTCAATTCGGACGAAGGCCATAACTTTACTTATTGTTAGGAAAGCATTGGATCTCATCTAGCAATTATGGGTTTTATCGAGTAACGAGGTCATTATATATAATCGAAATCACAAAACTTCTTCACAAAAGAAAAAAATAAAGTCACAAGCAAAACTTATCGCAACACAGCGATAAAATTGAATGAACAATCCTTTAAGTATTACTTAATAGGTGATTTAATTATTTAGCGTATTTAGATAATTGATTAGCAGATTGCTCGGTGAGTAATCTCGAGTAAAGGATGCTAAGAAAAGAAATTTAACAAGTCGCAAATTAAAAATGACCTTGGCGGCCAAAGAAAGATTATAATCGAATTAACTGTCGTATCAAAGCGCATACGAGCGTCGCGCCGCATGTAATTGTGACCCGTCTTACACTTTCTCGTGACAGCAATTAAAGATTAACAAGCCAAAATAACTTGCGTGGATATTGTCATTCATTTTGTTAACATAAAAGACTTCAATATAGCGCGCGGCAGCAAAGATTGATATATTATACCGGTCAATGCACTCGCTTTCGCACCAAAGGTCGAACTTCGCAGACGCTATAACAAGACAATAAAAGCTAGAAAAAGAGAGGAATATTTTCTGACCCGAAAGTTCACACGTATACTCGCAACGCGGAGGGAATATTAAACCCAGCGGATGACGCGGCATCGTATTTAATAATCTAAATGTAAACTCCACTTCCTTTTGATAATGAAGGATACGTCACGAGAGCTTATAAAACAATATAGTTTTGATAGAAATCCGACCTCGGTATTGACGAGCGTCCTCGACTTCGACACGAAGGTTTCCTCTTGGTTCCTTATTTGTAAGTAAAAGTATATTTGAGACACCCAAGGCCTCCGCGCACACGCATATGCACAAACCGCAACTAAAACCGTACGATCAGGAAAACGATATAAGAGTCGTGGTAAAGGAGTAAGATAAGAAGTGCATACGTTGGATAATATATTGAAAAATTTATAAGCGTCAAACCTGTTACTTTAGCAAACGTCTCGATTCTAACGAAAATGAACATCTCGCGTAGCACGCTATTTAGAAACAGAAATGAGGTCATACGTGTGATTTTATAAACATAGGTTAACCTTAAGCCATTATGTGCAGTAATGAATATGCACGTACCTATATGCACAAATGCATATCAGAAAAAACGAATACTAAAATAGAATTTTTTCTTATTTTTTTAAATATCCTGTTATTTTCGAAAGCCATATTGCCGCTCAAATGGAATAGAAATTAATTAAATCACTTTTCTCCATTTTTAATTTTATCAAAATATCATTTGATCGAATGATAATTTTGCTGAAATTGAATTGCCTTATTTTTTAATTTCACATAAAAGTACATGTTTCAAAGTATAATTATAAAAATAAGATAGAATTTCTTTTATACATTATTTGATTAAAAACTTATTTAAATTTGTTATATTTAAAGCCATAACATTTTTATATTTCATCAATTAATGTTTTTATTTGAAGATTTATAAATATTCGAGTAATCTAGAGAGACCGAGACAAACATTTAAATTGACATATTCAGCACTATACTTCCTTCGCAAAAATATATGTAAGAATCGTGTTATACTTACAATTAGAATTAATCAAGAACAGATGAATCTCTTCTTGGCGACGTATTCTCTTACATGCATGTAATTGCGTAAGTGCTGTTTCTCCTGTGTTGCGAAATCTACGAATCTCTGGCGAAACACAGATACCATCGGTTAATCGCAAAGCTTCATATATAATTACCATCATAAGCGATTTCATCAATTAAAGTGATACCTGTCGTGTGCGATTAGTAAATTTGCTTTAGATTTCCCGTTTATCAGCCGCTAACAGTTTCACTATTATAAAGAGTACAAAATATCGTTTTATAATCACACAGATCTCACCTTGAAGGGCTGATACGCAAGCTATATTCAATAAATAATATGATAGAACAAGTAAACCTTTAAATATCTTCCTGATGAGAAATAACTCATCAACTTTAAATTGACGATCATTTCTTCCTGGTTTATATAGTTTTAAAAAGTACATGTTTCTTTTTTTTTTTTTTTTTAAGAAAAAATTCGAATTCTTCAAGTTGTTTACTAGATATATTTAATAATTTTAACGAATTCATCTTATTGTTCAATCGCGTTATTGAAATCTAACGATAAGAAATAAAGATCGCTAAACAAATTAACGCGGTTATATCGAATATGATAATTTTAAAGACAAATATACTGATTAGATTGTGACGTAATGGAATTTTGTGCATTCTATTGTGTTTATTAATCAATATTTTCTTTAAGGAATCTATAAGATAGCGACATTTCTACGTTAACAGCGTAAAAGTTTCTATATAATACGTAGCTACTTATCACATATTAATTAGAATGTGACCGGTCCAAGATAATTGATACTAACCGGTCCAGTCCTCGTGGCAAATCACAAGAGAGTGTAAAATTTTCCATTAGGATGACGCAGCACGCTAAGTCTGTGATAACTATATAAGAATGTACTTACTGCAAACAAACTTTAAAAAGATCACCATGAATTCATGTTATTAATCTTGAGATAACACACCGGCTCAGCCTATGAAAATATTCCATGCGCTTATTTGAAAGAAGAAATCGTTTTCTATATCCATTTTTTTTTATTAAATTTTCTCTGCATAACTAGCAATATCATAAAATAATACATAAAGTAAACAAAAAATTCAAAATCCATACAAACATCCTACCATTGTCTTAAGTTTTCACGATTTGCAATTAAAATTGTAAATCGTCATAGGCGAGTTAAGTTTCTAAATCGCGATTTGGAACAAAGCAGTGTTATATAATATAGGCAGATCGCGTTACTGGAAGGTAAGTTTATTTTATATTTTGCACACACTATTTAGAGAATCAGTGCCAAGATACGTGGAAGAGGTATCCAAAATAGCAGACGCTTTCGGAGACTGGTCAGTGACCGACTCGTTTCGTAATTCTTGATAACGCACAATTGAAACAATGAATTAACCAAAGCCTTGTGTGAATGCTCATAAATAATCGTAAGAAAGAAAAAATAAATCTTTTAAAAATCGGTTTATATTCTAATAAATTAAAATATAAAATATTCAAATTATTATAGTTTTCATTTATTTATTTAAATGTTTCCCTCAGTCATTAAACTTATAATGCCGTTATAATGGCAAACTTATTAATAAAATATTACTTTAATCAAATAATCTGTAAAGATAATTATTATCTTTGTAATTAGTACAGTTTGAATAAATTTTTGAACAAAACTAAGAAACAATGTAATTATGTGATGTAATTCAATTTCATCAAAATGATGTCTCAATAATTATCTTTTATAATAACATCAATATTTATCTTGTTTTGATGTAATGCATAATTACTACAAGAGTATTAAGTATTATAAAATATATCAATAGTCGACACTTTTAATGAAAACGAAAATAGGCGAGATATGTAACGTTGATGATTAAAAGTGAACGTCACCAAATCTATACGTTAAATGTGTGCCAAACGTGAGAATTTATCGGTCCAATTTATCATCAACTCCGACTTACAAACCAAAACATATTCTGGCAGTCATCTGCCTTGTTGCGTAAAGCTCAGAGACCTTGACCGACGCGCAGTATCTGGAGTTTGTTTTAAATGCTTCTTCTGTAGCATCTCGTGTCGCATCATATTTTTATTGTCTTTTTGACAGTCAAAAATATCTACATTCATCACTTTCGATATTATTAAACCTGATACAAACTCCATGCATGTAACTGTGTATAGAGAGTCAGTGTGCTGTAGTGAGTCCCTCTTTTTTGCAATAAAAACAAAACAGTGCTATAGACAACTGCATATATAAATTTTTTCATTAACATACATAGTTACATAATGTTAAAAAAGCTGAAAATTAAGAAAACTGGTAAAACAATTGCTGAAGTAAAATATATGTAACATTACATAACATATGAGATAAATTATTTGGGCTTAAATTTAGCTTAAAGGCGAATGCACTTGAGGATGAGGCGCCATTTACTCGTTGGCAGCAAGTGCGACCACCGTAAAACGCACTTCAGTAGGATCGTGTTCCATGTATTCCTTGCATACGCGAGCGGCATCGTCGAGGAGTGTCTCCGGTGTGGTTGAACCATGACTGATAGGAGCAGACTTTCGACCATCTGGGAAAATAAATGTTTGTAGTATGTTGTGGTAAATTCGATCACGCATAGTACATTGAATCAGTATGTATTAAAAACTGTATTATATAAAGTGAAATAATGAAATATTTTTTGTTTCATTATTTATTTTATAATTAGAATTATAAAATAATATATGTATATTCTGTTAAATGACGTAACAATATGATTATTAAATATTTAAACAAAATAAAATTTAATCTTCAAAATATTTATGTTTTTACATTTCTATTTAGATGACTTTATCAATTTTATGTTTGAGGCGTCGAGTGGCTCACTACTCGGTGCGATTGACTCATTATCTGTAGATCCGAGTTCAATCCCACCTGCGCCCATATACGCAACTTTCTGCGTTTAAGAAGCCAAAAATGGCTTCACTTGCTGATTAAGAGATCTATGATCAGCCCCCTTCGGATCCGATTAAATTGTAGGCTCCATATATCATTGGATATATGTATGGATCCTTCAGGAATTGAACATTAGACTAACTACCTAATTCCAAAAAAAGAATTCATTGTTATGAAAACCTCACGAGAGGTAAACTTTGTCCCGACTGTGAGATGTTACACCATCGAATGCATGAGGAATTTCATGTATAGCAACTTTAATATACAAGATACAGTTGGAGGATGGTTTTTTCAAAAAGTTCTTAAAAGAAACCAAAGTACTTTCGTATATCGAACGTGGCGAACGTTTAGTACAAGCGCAAGAAGACATTTAGTAATGTAAATAAATGACTAATTAGCTATTAATTTAATCATGTCATATAATCAATATAGATCGAATACATACCTAACTCATACAGGGAACCATCCTTATGAATGAACGCGACAAAGTGATGGTACACCTCTACATCTTCAGCTGGTGCCTAAAAAAGAAAAAATACTTGCAATTTATGATTTAACAGATTTTCGGCTATAAAATAGAAAATACCTCGGTTTGTCCTTCCTGGGCAGATTCCATATGAGTATCAATGATGTCTTGTGCCTTTTCTAAACGTTCGCCACGTTCGATGTACGAAAGTCCTTTAGTTTCTTCTAAGAACTTTTTGAAAAAACCGTCCTCCAACTGTATCCTGTAACGAAATAAAGGATGTTATTTTTATTGTTTATCAATATAACAGATTAGATTATGTACATATAATCATAGATGCTCACATATCCAAATTATTCGCCACACTGTGAAGTAATGCAATTGTACCACACGCATTTGAAATAGATTGTTTTATATGATAAACAGATTCTGCAGCATCATTCTTGCTATCTTTAACTTCTGCTTGTTCCTCTTTAGTCTTTTCAATCTAAGTAGAAACAAAACAAACCTTGCTTGTAAAAATGCATCAATCGAATCTAAAATGTTTCATGATACATTGGAACTTCATAATAGCAAATTTTGAATTAATACAAAATCCTCTTTTTCTTTGTCTAATGATTTTCTACTTAAAATCAAAATATCATGCAAATCAAATGTGATGAAATACTAAACTTTTAATAGATTGTAAAGTATACAGAATAAAATCCCTTTCATAAGTGCTGGACACATTAAATAGTATGAGTAGAGGAAAAAAGATAGGAGTAGAACTATGTACAGTTGGGATAATCTTGAATAAAGTTTTATATATAATCTGTTTTTTACTCTTGCACTATATTGCACTAGTGCTCGTATTCATAATCAGCTTACATTTAAGGCTTTCTTAAGTTTATCTTTAGATACTCTATAGCCAATAAAATAATTTATAGATCTGAAGATAAATTTAAGGAAGCCTTAAACATAAGACTTGACTATGTGCATTGAACATATAACTTTCCTTTTTGCTTTCTCCAAATATCAAATGTATGTCTATCTCACTTTAAGTTCTGAAAGAATATATAAGATCAGCCAACTGAAATAAACTTGTAGTAGTTAAACTGTACCCTGAATTTCAATGTTAAGTATGAAGACAACCTCGTTATTATATTCAAAATGCTTGTTATTATGACATTCCAGTATATTGTTTTATATATATATTGTGTTTACCTTAGAAGAAATAGGATAAAGCAAGATGACAGCAAGGACAGGCCTAGGGATGATCGCTAACAGTTCCGATTCTAAACCATATACATCTAAGATCGACCACTTCTTTGGAACACCCAACTTATGAAGGAACTATAAAAACAAACATCCTATATTAAATTTTTGTACATTTGAAGATTATGCCAGAGAGATCTATTAGGCCAGCATCAGATTATGCATTGAAGATTGAGATTGAAAATTGAATGATTGAAATTTATCCGATCAAAACAAAAGAAACTAAATTTGTCCTTATTGGTCAAATTTCAATCTTCAATGCATAATCTGATTCTAGCCTTAGACTCTTCTCTATTTTTTCACGAGAAGTGTATTATTATCAACGAAGTATTGTGTCCAAGGTCATGATCATCGAGGAAATAATGGAATTAACTGACTGAACGATGCAATTGCTTACCTTCGTCATAACCTAAAACAGAAGAAACGCTTATTCAATTGTTATACGAGCAACAACGTATCACTATTTGACAGAAGGCTCTCTTACCTCTGGATTCGACTCTAAGGGCACCCAAGCCATGTTGAATGTCTCGTGATTTCTTTCACAAAAAATTCCGTTTCAAAACGCCGGTAATGTCTATCGAATCTATCTTTCAACGACTCCTCTCGCGTCTCTACGTCCCCGATCGCAACTTGATTCAAATTCTTATAGTTCTGTTTCCATGAAAGAACAAAACGTCGAATCACGCTATGTTTCGTTTTCAAATTACGCGATTTCGCTTGTGATTGGACATCTGTGAAATACTTTAGGACGTGGGCGGTAACATTACTAGGACCTATATTCTCGAAAAATGTCACATATGAAAATATATGAAATTATAATATATATGATGTATTTTTGTATGTAATGTTTCCCGAAAATAAGGCTTCAGAGTTGTTTATTACTCACAAAAACAAGCATAATTTTATATTAGAACCAGAGAGAAACCTGAGAGCGGCCATAGAGTATCATTCGTAGAGAGAGAAACCCTCTGGCGTAGGCGATATTTTTGATAAAATCCTTGTGAATGGACAAGACTTCTTTTCGGAACATCAAATTGGCAAATATTTTGTAAAGCTGAAAAACGAGATGTTGAATGCCGGTAGAAGCAAATATGTAAAAACATTTGAACATTATAATAGATTGCACGAACAATTTCTTATCTACAATCTACTTTATAAATTACATCTGGGATGATATAATTACTTGTAAACAATCTTTGTGGGATCAAAGTGGAATGATATGCACATGATATACACATGATCATGCTTGGTCAAAGATAAAATAATGCACTCCAATGATAGGAGGTAATAACATTTATACCGAATTAATAATACTATTGTAAACTCGAAATTGTTAATCCAACATTTGTAATTACATATCAATATTATAAATCTACAATTGTCAATTTTATAAATATATATTATATTTTTGAGATTTTTCTCGATTTCTATTGCAATAATACTTAGTCCATCATAATTAATGAAAATTAATTAAGTTAATTATCTTAATAAACATTTTCATGTATATATATATATATATATCTATATATAAAACATATATGTACACATATTTTAAGTTAAATATTATTTATAGGATGTCCTAATGTTTTTATAGTTTTTGTTGAATTACAACGTAATAATTCCGAATAAATATTAAATTATACACATAATTATACTTATGTATATGTATAGCATTGACCAATAATATAATCTTTGTTTAAAAAAAATTCTAAGAAACTTGATCTAATCTAATCTTAAAATATATAAAACAATGTAGCAATAGAATTCTTGATGATATTTAATGTAGTCGATAGGAATATAAAAGCTAGGGTCACCCAACATATTTTTACTTTCATTACAAGTTTTCTGGCAGGATGATGCTGTTTGTACCAATTTTGTGTACAGCTTTGATCCTCTGTGCATCATTATCAGATGCGTATATTAATGTGATATCGAAAAGAGATGAGAACTTTGTGGTACCAAAAACAAAATATATTCCAACCTGGTCTAGTCTAGACAATCGACCGCTACCATCCTGGTACGATGATGCAAAGTTTGGAATCTTTATTCACTGGGGTGTATTCAGCGTGCCCAGCTTTAGCTCTGAGTGGTTTTGGAACCACTGGAAAGGTTGAATATACCTATAATATATATATTATATACTTTATTTCTATAGTAAAAATATTATGATGATTAATGTGATATCTTATAAATAATATTGTAGGAGGATTGAAGACTATAGTCGACTTTATGAAACAAAGATATCCTCCAAATTTTACCTATCAAAACTTTGCACGAGATTTCACTGCTGAATTCTTTAACGCTTCTGACTGGGCAGAGTTATTCCAAGCATCAGGTGCAAAGTATATTGTATTGACAAGTAAGCATCATGAAGGATATACATTGTGGCCGTCAAAGTATTCGTACAGCTGGAATTCTATGGATGTGGGGCCTCAAAAAGATCTCGTTGGTAATAAAGATGTATACTTAATAATAAGATTTTGCATTTAATATATTGATTCTTATAAATATTTCTTATCTTTCTATGAAATAGGTGAACTGGCAGAAGCTATTCGTAGCAAAACAGACATAAAGTTTGGTTTATATCATTCCTTATTTGAATGGTATAATCCTCTCTATGTAGCAGACAAAAGTAACAATTTTACAACAGACAAATTTGTAACTCAGAAGGTAATACCTGAATTACATGAATTAATAGAAACATACAAGCCAGAAATAGTTTGGTCAGATGGAGAGGCAGAAGCAACAGATTCTTATTGGAAATCAAAAGAATTTTTAGCTTGGCTATACAACGAAAGTCCCGTGAGAGACACAGTAGTGGTGAATGATAGATGGGGAGTTAATATATCATGCCATCATGGTGGTTACTATACATGTGCTGATCGTTTTAATCCTGGTAATTTATTATCGTATTTTTCTCTTGTCTATATAATTAAGTATAATTATAATTAATAAACAAGTTAGTAGAAATTAATGGATATCATTAACAGAGTGTAAATTGTTAGTAACAAGAGTTTATTTTCTAGGTGTACTTCTTTCACATAAATGGGAAAACTGCATGACTATTGACAAACAATCTTGGGGATATCGCAGAAACGCTGTTTTATCCGAATACTATACATTAACGGGATTAATAAAGGAATTAATAATTACTGTAAGCTGCGGTGGAAATTTACTGATGAACGTTGGACCAACAAAAGATGGTATCATTACACCAATATATGAAGAAAGATTGCGTGGAATGGGTATACATCTTTAAAATCTTATCATATTTTTATTATTAGTATCTTGATTAAATTTAAATATCGATTTTTTAATAATCTTACACAAATAAATTTAATTGTTTTAGGTGCTTGGTTAGCGGTTAACGGTGAAGCTATTTATAATACTAAGCCTTGGACAGTACAAAATGATACCTTATCAGGAAGTGTCTGGTACACACTAAGTAAAAATGAAAAACAGTTGTATGCTTCAATTTTAGAATGGCCAGATGATAATATCTTATTGTTAGGCTCGCTTAAACTTTCGAAAAGTTCTCAGATATATCTACTTGGTTATTCATCAATAATTTCTGTAAGTGTGTTACTACTTTAATTTATTTATGTATATATTATAAAAATGATAATACAATAATTTTAACGATATTTAAATCTAAAGACCGTCAATGTACGAACATAACTGATACGAATACGAAACCTATAACAGTCTAGCTTGGATCTTAGTTACTTATACCATATATGTAATTTCGTGTGAATTTATATACTAATATGTGTAGTCTTTCCAAACTGCGCGTCGAACAATTGTCGGTCTTGAAACGTAACTCTAATACTATCACGAATTAGATTAACAATTTAATAATTAATTGATGCTCTTTTTTGGCATCTTATGTTAAACTATATTAAAATCTAAAAATACTAAATATGAAAATAATTCTTATTGCGAAAAATATACAATAATTTTAAATATCTATAAAAAATAATAAAATAATTTAAATTTATTCCAGTGGAAACAATCCGATAATAAACTAGAAATAAGTTTACCAGCTAACGCACACAGAGGTGAGTCAGCTTGGGTATTAAAGATTAAGAAGAATATCGATTAAATATAATTAAAGTTTTATTATATATATATATAATCTATATACAGATTTTGTTATGACACAAGCGCTCATTAATTATTTGCCTTATCATGTGCACCAATGATCGATGTTATTCGATTTTGAAGCATGTTTAAGCTTTCATAACCGATGTATCATATAATTGTATATTTTCTGAATTATTTAGCCGCATTAAATTAAAGTTACAATCGGCGCTTTGATGTTACATTATAGTATAACAATTAGCAAATCTATTTATAGAATATATCTACTATATTTGTGTATGATTGTGTCATTCTTTAATTGCATTTCGATAGCTATACTGTAATATCAGAATGCGATATTATATGCCAATTGATCGTTATTTTAAATGGCAGGTTCATAAATGCATTTCTA